CGTTTTGCCTCTATTAACCCAAAAACCTAAAGCTGATTCAGAGATTGTAATATAGAGCGTATAAAATAAAATATCCACCTGCACTGTATTGTCCATTCAGACATCATTAGACCCTAACCCACTTACTTGTCCAGATTTCAGCATCAACCCGTGGGCAGTGCACTATACACTCCAAGTTCTCTTTGTTTCAAATTCATCTCAAATTTCATACTTTACCCATTGAGTGTTGATTAATCACAATACAAATTGTGACCGAGCGTGGACTTGAGGTTACTAGACTATTAAATGAAAATTGTTCTTCACATAGCCACTGTTAGACTTGATCCTAAAAAAAAAAACCTTTGTCAAAATCTCATTCATTTTTTCGTCAATGACAAAGATTCACCTGGTAACAAAAAGTGTAATTTCGTGCATTCTGAGTCATTATTGTTATCCAAGCAGTTCAGAACGTAGATGCTTCTTCACTTTAACGGCTTCATGTAATTGTTTTGCTCAAGTCATTTAATTTCGGTACAAATTAAGCTAATAAAAATCTGCACATGTTCGTAACTGAAAGCATTGTCACTGACAATTGACATGGGTTGCCTTGACAATGACTGTTAGCTCAAATGAGTGACCACAGCAGAATAGTGAATATCGCCGTGTATTGTCGAAATTTTTCAACACGACTCGTGATATTTCCACCTGCATGTTGTCTTGTATTGTACATAGAGTTTGTTTTTATTATTAACATGATTAAATGATGATGTTTGTTTTATTGTTTTGAATTTCTATGTTATTGTATTTTGCATTTCGAACTGGACTCCTCAAAAGTTTGGAATCGCTAATAAACGTTATGACTCATGAATAAAGTGCGCCGAAGACACCAAATCGATTGAATGCAAAAGTGCACTTTTATTAAGCGATTCCACACTTTTAATGTGCGTAATGTGATATATTAGTTTAACTTAAAAAAAAAATTACCCAAGAACCAGTGATCAGGCTTGCAATTGCTCATTACAGCTAAAATGTTATTTTTCGTAATTATGAAACTATGAGATACTATTAGGGGAAACTCTCCTATAGTTGCGGTACGTTAGAAGCGTTAGGTTCCTATAGTTGTGTATGGAGACTCAATACACAACTATAGGAACCTAACGCTTCTAACGTACCGCAACTATAGGAGCCTTTACCCTATGATAATTTTTACTTGTAAGAAGCAATAATTGATGGTAAAGTTTGTGTATGACAACTAAAATTTGTCAATTTTGCTTTCAGAAGGTCACAACTAGCGATTTTATGATCGCTGATTGCTCGCTCATCGCGTTGCTCATCGTTACAACTAATCGCTATTGTGACCATCTGAAAGCTAAATTGACAGGGCATCTTGTAAATAAGAATTATCATTGAATTTCATTGCTTCATAAATCCGAAAAATAGCATTTTAGCTGTAATTAGCATTTGCAAGCTTGCCAGTGATGCATCTGAACGTGATCAGTTCGTTAGTTAATGAAAAGATCTTAACTTGCGTTGTTGCTCAATGATCGACTGTGAACTTAACTTGAACTTAAGCAGGCTTTTCCAGAATGGAAAATGAAAAGTTTATTTTTTTTATAGCAGCGTTTGAGTGAAACTGCATTTACTGTTTTGGTTGGGTGAATTTTGTAGGATAAGTAATTGTGTTGATTGTATTAGTTGCGTTGCGTTGCGTTTGTAACGAAGTAATTCGTAGATTGCATACTGGAAACTGTCATGTATATACTTTAACGCGCTTATTTTGGTAGGAGTATAGGCGTAACCAGAGGGGGCAGGGGGGGGGGAGCAACTTCCCCCCTAAACTCAGCAACACAAAGGCTTTCGGTGAAATGGCGTTCGGCCAAATTTTCCATAGTAAATTTTTTTCGTTCTTATTTGGGAGTGAATAGCTTTCCAATCAGAGTTCAGAACAGGAAAAGCATGACAATTACCATTGCCGGCCACGACCATCGTCTTCGTTACGGGGAGAGGAAGGATATTGTTGATGTGACATCTACTTTGGCTCTGAACCATTTGGTGGATTATTTTAACTTTTGGTTAAAATTTGACAAATGGAAGGTTATTGATTAACCCTGCTATCCGAGCGTGGTTACTTCTGACAGACAAGAAGTTAAATTTTGACAACCTTGGCTAAGTTCTTCTCGAAAACCGGTTGATCGACAGCACAGGGATTGTCCAACATAGAAAATAACTTTCGAAATGTCACTTTTAAACACGAGTTAAATTTAACTCGGCAAATGGTTCACAGCCTTAATAGGAGGCGAGCAACTCACCGACGCCCTCAAGTTGAATTTAAGGAGTTGCGCAAAGGCCTACCCTAATAAAAATGTTATGGTTAATTTGCTTAACGACGTGTTCTGGGTATCATCCAAACCATTTGTGGAATAGTTCCATCATTTGGGTTATCGTTCGTTTATGGTAATTTTTTATTAGGGTAATATTCAGAATTTATTCACAGTTCGATTCCTAATTTTATTAATCAGGGCAAACCTAGCTTTTGAATTTAGCTAATTGAGCTGCAATTGTCCTAAGGACTTTAACAAAGAAGGACCAATAATGTCTGACCTTATTCTTCCAGGCGTTGGTCCAAAGCCTGATGTTCTCGGGCGTCTTTCCAGCGTTGAAAGATGTTCCTCGACGAACAGGCAGGCTTCAGGCAGCGAAATCGGCTTGCACGCAAAATACCAACTCGTGCGTGTGCGATAATCGTCGGGGTATATGCGTCCCCGGAGTTTGGTTGAGTCAGAGCTTTTTGTTGCGTTGCTCGGCGCCACATGACTTGACGAAACGAGTTGTAACGGTGGTGTCGCAGAGAAATTCACCACTAGCTAACGATCGGATTTTGATCGTCGGAGAACCGATTGTGGACGGTTGGCGTCCTCGGTGGGAAATTCCACCCCAGATAAGCAGCCCACGTTGTTTGGGCCTGACGTGCCTAAACAACGCAGTAAATTCTTATTTGGCTGACGAATTCTAACTGATATCACTGAGGCTTACCTGATTTACTGTTAGCCGTTATCAAATTCCAATTTGTTTAAAAAATTTCAATTCCTTACAAACTCTATAAATTCAACTAAAAACACACAAAAATTTAAAAGTAAACTCGCGAAAACTTACTTCGAATTTAGTTAATTTAAATCACTATTCCAATTTTGGAATTATCTTTTTAATCTTTTTCTTAAAATTTGCACAGCGAAAATACTCTTGTGAACTGTATAACGTACTCCACCAGAAAGAACGAGCTATCGCGAGGCAAAGTGGTTCGATCTTAATAACTACGACGCAATAACTACCCAATGGTCTGCAGTGGGAATTTATTCTTTTATTCTATTGTTTAGTTCTGGAGAGCGAGATATTGTAAAGGTTTTTCATGCCAGCAGTATACGAAACTGCCTATTTTTAGGTATTTATTTGTTTGAAGTTCAGTGGAAAACTGTGCAGTAACTGCAGGAACAATTAGTCTGGTTGATTTGCTTTAAAGTATGCTTCGTTATTTGCACATGTTTATGGCGACCATTATCAATTTACATTCATGCTGAAATATTTCAATGCAGAGAAGATCCACAACTAGAAGGCAGCACATGTAAAAAAGGAAAACAATACATGTATCAGTATTGACTTGACGCTACACCACAGAGAACAGACGTTCAAGTTCGGTCAAAAACTTGTGTTAAGTGGAAACGTCGCCGTTACGTAGCGCTAGCATCTCCTGATTTCCTCTATAAATTTTGCACTTTCGACCAATTTGGCGCTAGTATCGATAAATTTTCTGTTGAAAATTGCCACTTGGCGCTAGTGTCTAGTGTAAATTTTGCAACGCCAGCGCCATCATGTTGTCAAAGAGGGTTTTTATGTGGGGTAGTCACCGTTAGTCGAATAGGAATCTTTACACTAGTTTTTAAAGAAATTTTGTACGAGCCTCAACGTCTGTTCTCTGTGGCTACACTAAGAATCCATGTGCCGTTCTATTTTTATTCGGCTAGAAGATTTGAAGTTTATTTTAATGGAACGGATATTTATTTTACAAAGTGTGACTGCATTCAATGCGCTCGCTTACCCTTCACCAAAAGGTGATTCTTCTTACCACTTTCATTACGGCCAATACATCCGTATTGCCACTGTATTGTGTCCACACAGCTAAAATCACAGCAACTATGGGGACGTTTTTGTGGAGAAGACAGCCACCTCGTGTGCCAATGCAACAACTGGCCCAAGTGGGACCAAGGAGGACTACAACTACCTGCACTGAAAGTCCAAGCACTGCTCATCAACCGCCATCTACAGGAGATCGATTCTATTCCCTTCTACAATTTCTTCTTCACCCGAACAAATCCTAACACTCCACCTGCTGATCTTCCCTGCCAAAAATAATCATGCAAACTTACCCAAGTTCGCATCAACAAGCCCAGCAAAATCCTTTCTCCGATCAAATTCAGTGAACTGGATTGTTCGTTACATGGAATTCTTATCGCCAGAAATTAGTTTCGTGGAATGTTTTCATTCCAGTAAGTACGTAAATATTACAGTGATCGGTATATAATTAGTTAACGTGTTTCAGCTTGTGAACTTCAAACGGGAAATAAGACACATTCACAATTTTGCTTGCAACTTGCTTTCAAAAAAGTTCACTCGTGCAAAACATTCCAAAAATGTAATTTTGCAGTGTAGTTAAATTTTAAACGATTTTCATGGTTTGCGAAACACTCAGGAATAATATGTAATGACCTAACTGTGTTTAAAACATCGCAAAATGCTGTCAAATCATATTTGATAAAGTGTAGTGGCATCGTCATAATTGTTATCGCAATTGTTAGTGCGATTTTATAGCATTTTTAACTCATTAGTTTATGCTCATGATTGTACTCAAGGGCTTTCTTTCCGTGTTGGATATTGCAGTGCAATCGTCAAAATCAACAAAATATTTTAGCGTCAAAGGATTTTATGCGCATGCTCTTCAATAATGTTTGCTTGAGTATTTTTCACACATTTGCTTGTAAAAGTAGTTATGTTTGAAATTATGAGACGAGTGACATTCTGTTTTGCTGTTTGTTGATTCGGAATACCGATGCTGATGTTTTCACCTTTTCATTTGTACGACTCATTATTTTAAAATATTTTGTTTTGCGCAAGATAGATGGAGAAAGGCTTCCGATGCGTCCAAGTTTACCACTTTCATTTTTCCATAATAATCGAGAAACATTGCAGGTGTTCGCGAGTTCGATATTACTAGTGTATATTTTAATGCTTGAGGGGATAAGTAATGTAACACCAAAAATAAATCACATGGGTGCGAGTGCGCTAAAAACAACTTCGAAAATGAGGTGACTTCAGCGATAGATAACACAATATGAAGCGAAGAATTCGTTGGACTCGAATTAGTGAATAGTCAAGAATAATCAAATTTGTCAGTCTGAAATACGTGTTGGTGTTGAAGTGTGCGGCGCTCCAATGAAATCGGTAATTGTAAAATTCAACTTTTTTCAACTAGGTAGACAGTCCCTGAATTCAGCTTATGCTTCTTATGTGGTTTTCCATGCCACAAAAAAAACGTATTCTATAGAAGATACGGATTGATTTCAAAATCAAACAGAATTGACTTACTTCCTAAATAATTTAAATAAGCACATAGGCGAAAGTCAGAAACTAAAAAAAAAAAGAATAAAATACAAAAGTGGTATTAAATCACAGATTATTGTGAAGTGAAAAAAAATGTACTAATCAGTGTTAAGTGAGCAAAATTTCAACAATTAGTACTGTTTTCACAAATATAATATATCATGATCTGCAGCCAATGAATCAGTAGTGATAGCTATAATGCATACGCTAGAGTGTATCGTACAATGTCTTTGATGATAATATATTGGAAACTGCTGTATCGATTCGCAATTTTGCAGTCATAAATCTCGGCGGCCTTACAAAAAAAAAAAAAAAAAATCATCCCATGTGAAAGTAAATTACAGAATTCTTTTTGTTCAGACGTATGATCCGATTTACCTGTGTTTGATAAATTTCGAAGCACGCTGGAAAAAATTCCTCGTTGTGTTCTAAAAATATTCTCAGCTAGAAAGAATGAAAATGCTACATGTTCGTGTTCTTGTCATATCTATCCAAAATTAGCATTGCAGGTGCATAAGTCGTTTGCAAGCATCAGCACCCTGCTGTCAGTTTTACCATAAATATCGTTGCGCTGCCAAACTGGACAGTCGTGCAATTGCGTGAAACACATTCGTTGAGGAAACTTTTTTAACGGTGGTGTCGACATTGTTGTTTGTGAATTATGTTTTAAATTTTGATTCGAATTATAAAAGGTTACTTTTGCCGTTTGTTAAGATATTTACAAAACTACGGAATACATTCAGTCTGTTGATGAATGATCAACAATAATTAGCAATTGATGTATTAAACTATGCATAGTATTCCAGTGATCGTTGTCATCTAAATGTGATGAAATAACTATAAAAGGAGAACAAAGTCAATAACCAAATGGTAGTTACTAACTCATCGATCTTTCTTTTCACATAAAGTATCCTATTTTAACATACAAACGGTGAGCATTTCATTGCTTTACACTTTCACATGACAGAAACATTTCAACACCGCATGTTATTACGTGCAATTGATGTAACAGTAATAAATACAAGAAGGGTATTGTTTATGTCGTGTGCATTTAAATGTTGTACGTTGTTCGCTTGGAATCGAGAAAATAATGAAAACTTTGCGAGGTGGGATTTTTCTCGATTGCTAAATTAATTCTAACATTCTACATAACTGCAGCAAAAATCAAAACTGTGCAAAATGTCATACACAGATTTAATACCAAAAATAAAATTTCGAAATCATGTGAATTTTAAAAGTACCAGTCTGAATATGTGTGGAGCATAGAAAAAAAACAAAATGTTAAGTAACCATGAAATATAATTCATCGACATCCAGTGATGGAAAAGATGCTCATGCCCTTTTCAAAATAGCAGCACTAGCTGGTGTTGCTAGCTCGCTGATCGTCTCTCCAGTTACGTTGCAGCTCTGAAAGAATTCACGTGAGTGTCCTGCTCACGGCATTCCAGATGCCCTCCTAATGACACATTTTATCGACGATATTCTCCACATTGAGGGCAAGCATCTCCCTTCACACTGCTTCAAATCTAGGACAGTTGAAGACCACGTGCTCCGGTGTTTCTTCCACATCTTCACATTCCGGACAGAGGGGTGACCTTGCGTGTCCGAACCGATGTGGGTATTGCCTGTAGCAACCATGACCAGATAGGAATTCGCCAGATGGAAGTTTACCTCTCCATTCTTTTTGTTCACCCTGGTAGAGAATCGGTATAAGCCTGTGTGCCCATTCTTGTTGCCACTTGGTCATGGACTCCACTCTCACAAATTTTTATACTCCTCTGGTTTCTTCCGCGTGTAGCACTCGCTGTCCTCCATCAGGGTGATGCCGATAGAGATCATTCCGGTGATAACGCATACTGCTTCCAACAAGCTTGAACGTACTGTACGATTTCCTCTCCACTTCTGTTTGGACGACTTCTCGGCTCTCTCGATCACTGTCCGAATTGCATCCCCCGAACTGGATCTTCGACAATCCATGCTTACTCTCCGTACATATCGTCAGCCTGTTAAGGATAATCCTCTCCAAGAGTTATCCGAGTGTATCTAGCAAGCATACATGCCTATACGATGCTGGATTCCCCAGCAGCTTTCCTGGTTTTGGCAGCAGCACTAGCTTTTGTATCTTCTATCTGTCTGGGAAGTGACCTCCATCCCAATATTACTGCAGCACTATCCTGAATAAGTCACCTAATGCAGCTCTACTAAAACCCAGTCCTTACTCTCTCCTCTGTCTGAATCCCGCGTGACCACGTGATTACTTCGGGGGATGCGTGTGTATATGTGTAGAGCAATCCCAACTAACAATTTTGGTTTTATGAGGGTTATGAAGACCATGATTTAGGCTTGTAGAATGCTATAAAACCTCTATAAAGCTTGCAATATTACTTGGGATAGGTAATTCAAAACCAAACCACTTGGTACCATGAATTGCTTAGCGATAGGTAGCATGTTAGCATTCTAGCAACAAGTTTATACCTATGAGTTGCATGAAAAAAGGTCGCATTGTTTTATTTTTATATTTTTTGAAGACATTTAATATATTGATGAGCTACTAAGAGCATTTTTATTGTAAAATTTTCTTCTTTTCCTTAATTTAACGTCGGTCTCTGTTCCGCAATCTAGTGCCAATCACCGACGAACATCGATTGCCATCCATTAACGGCAACCGAATGTGCAGGAAGGCAGCTTCCACACCTGCGTAGGATATCGCACCCATTCACAACACACATGGACCGGGACCAACGGCTTTACTTCCCTTCCGAAGGAAGACGTGACCAGAGATTTTTATGCCTCAGAAAAATCCCACCGACCTCGGCTGGGATTGAACCCAGACCCATTGGGTTGTTAGAAAGCAGTCACGCTTACCACTATACCACCGGCGCCGGCTGTAAAATTTTCTGATCTTTGCGAAGAAAATATGTTTGAAACTGGAGAACCACGAAATACATTTAAAAATGGCCAAAAACTACCAACATTTTAAAATAGCTACTTTCAAACCGCTACATCTCAAAAATTGTGTGATTTAGAAGACATTTGTAATTTTATTGTAAATTTAGTGTACTTTCGAAACAGTAATTGGACCAAGTTTTAGATATTTTTCCAAAACTTGAGTATTTTTAAAAATCGGAACTTTTTTGTCCATCACTTCTTCATCTTGACCTACAGTGCAATAGATGGCATTTTTTGTCCCCTAAAACATATCAACAAATAAAAAAAAATACAAAAAACTCTTTTTTCAAGAAAAATTGTTTTTAAGATTTTATTTTAAATTTAAAAAAAGTAGGGTATTTTTTTTAAAGTGCTTATTTTTTTTTCAAATAGTCTCATCCATTATCTGAAATATTGCTCAAAACACTAAACCGATCGGGCAAACAGTTTTCGAGTAAAAATTTTCTGAAGATAAGCTTGATATTTTTCTATAGGCTGGATTCAAATTGGCGATATGAAGATGCGAAATGACAAAGTCGGTCATAAGGATCGTTTCTGCAAATTTTCAACCAAATCAAAAATACAAAAATAAACCGATTTCCGAATTCGTAGGGAATTGCTCTGTAACAAAATAAAGAAAAGTGTCCCACAATTTTAGCTATTGTTGCAAGATTTGAAGCAAATTATTCTAAACTTTAAAATTTTATTTTCAAATTTGATATCTTGCATATTTTTCTAAGTCAAAGATCCTGGGAATTGAAGATATCTTCATTTTTTCAAGTTCGGGAGAGATTTTTCATTATTTTGAAGCTTGAGCTGTTTTCAAGACTGAGATCCAAAAAATTTAAAGTATCTCATAACTATGATTTTGTTCGAGCTAGGTGTCTTTACTTTATCTAAATAAATCCTGAATATTAAGCTTTAAAAAGTTTAATAACCTTGTGAAAATTTTCATGCATGGTTTTTTTCTATCTCCAACAGCTTGAAGCTTTTCGTATACCTAGTTAAAAATCTCGCAATTTTTAGAAATTTTAAATTTTTTGCAGTTTTTAAAAAATGTCCACTTTTGTTTGAGCCTTAAAGACTGGAACGCGTAAAAATTGGTCGACCAAAAAATCGTTTCATTCAGTCAAAATTCATATCACAAAAATCTTTTTATTGTTTTTTTTGGTAGTTCAATTCATATATTTAAAGGAAAAAAATGTTCGTTTACTCTTTTGGTTTGTCAAATATCGAACTGCTGTGCCTTCCGTTTAAGCACTTCCATTAAATTTTGCACAGTGTTCTCATCGACCTTATTCGCCGCCAAACGCCAGTTAGATTTAAATTGCTGCTCGTTTTCTATGGATTTATTAGTTTTTTTGAGATTCCGTTTGACCAAGGCCCAATACCGTTCGATAGGGCGGAGTTCTGGGTTGTTGGGAGAGTTGTGGTCTTTGGGTACCACAACCAAGTTGTTCGCATCGTACCACTCGATTGCCTTTTTCCCATAGTGACAGCTCGCCAAGTCCGGCCAGAACAGCACAGGTCTATTATGTTGCTTTAGGAATGGTAGCAGGCACTTTTCCAGGCACTCCTGGACGTAGATCTCTTGATTGATGGTTCCCGTAGTAATGAAAATGCCGATTTTTAGACCACACGTGCATATGGCCTGCCAGACGAGATATTGTTTTCGGGAACTTCGATAGTTTGATGGTTTTGAAAATTTCAGCCACCTTCCCTTTTCCTGATGCGGTATAAAACTCCTGTCCCGGAAGCTGCTTGAAATCCGCCTTCACATAAGTTTCGTCTTCCATGACGACACAGTCGAACTTTGTGAGCAGCTTTCGGGACCGCTGCTTTGCCGAGGTGTTTTGTTTGTAATCTCGGTTCGCCACCTTCACCTTCTTAAACGTCGATAGCCCGGCTCGTTTCTTGGCCCGCTGCACAGTAGTATGGGAGACATTGAGCTTGCCAGCGACGTCCCGGATGGAGAGGTTAGGATTCCGCTGATATTTCACCGCCACCTTCTTCGTCGTCGCTGCCACGTCCGGATTACGATTGCCGCCGCTTCCAGGCTTCCTGGCGGTCGACAGACGCTCCCCGAACACTTTTGTCGCGGTCGATTTCGCCACAACCAGCAATTTTGCCAACTTGGCGTGTGAGAACGTCGGATTTTCTTGCTGCGTGAGTAAAATTTTGACACGCTGCTCCTCTTGCTGGAGAGCAATCGGTGAAAACTCATCATAGCAACCATTGCATACACTTAACTTCCAAATGCAGCATTTCAGGTTTTTTTTATGCATTTTTAACAGAAATACACCAATTTGAAGTTGACCAATTTTTGCGCGTTCCAGACTTTAAACCAGGTTTAACCATGTACAGTACATGTTTAAAAGTCTTAAGCGCAGGTGAAGAAATCGGCCCTTAGGCATGAGCTGCAAAATAGTGTTCCAAGCGTGGATTTTAAAATATTGTTGTGAATAAGTTTGAAATGAGTAGCTCTTATAATCGTAAATTTTATTTTCAAAGAAATATGTTTCAAACTTCATAACAATGATAACTGCAATGTTTTTTTTTTATTTTCAGTCCTATGCTTGTTTATCGCTATGACTGCGTGATGCAACAAGATAGAAAATAATTTTTTGCAGATACACATGCTTTTAAGTCTTTGAATTTGATTACAATTATTTAAGGTACACCGGGACAAGTGTTTATCGTACCCAACATTTATAAATGGCCGTTCCACACCGCGGTCCCATTTTCCCTGGTATAGCCCTGATAGAGTGATTAGAAGCAGAATAGAATAGTGCACAGTAAATCTGCAACTTGTCAATTGATCAACTCCACTTACACCGTGTTCTGATAAGAAAAACCAATTTTTTTTTAATTTACAAGGCTCTATATTTTGAACAATTGTTTGTCATTCCACTTGAAATCGTGTCAGCTGATCCTAATCGATTTAAATTGATAATTTCATATTTTTTTGTGTAGCGCAGCTTAAAGTCGAGATACTTTTAGTAGTTGTATAGTTATATAATGTATTATTTTAAGAATACTGCTACGACCAACAAAATGTTTGGTTCCCAAAAATTAATCTCTTTAGAAAATCATTGAACAAATCAAACATTAAGCTTGTAATGTGTTAGAAGTCAATATAGGTTAATTCAAGTTTTCGTATTTTTACAGCTGTTTGGTTGTATAAGATTGAGAGAAAAATCTAAAAATCACAAGGCTTCTAAAACACATAATCGTGGCGGCGTACAATCAAGCTAGTCTTAGTACCTCGGGATCCTGTAATGCACGCAAATGTGCATACAGATCGGGCCGGGGGTGGATCTTGGCGGTTACCTCCAGATGAAACCTTGCAGGTGGCGGATCCGAAGCAAAAAGAAGAACAGGTAAGAAATATTGGACCACCCTTGTCCAACGTTTAGAATTACTCTAATTGGCACGCTTGCTTAATTTTTTTTAATTTAAAGCTATATCAATTTAGTATGCAAGAATGTGCTTGAAAATGCCACACAGGTGACAACAAAATTTTTTTAGACAAATGTGACCTGAACGAATCAAATAATTTGCACCGTGTCATGCATTTTAAAATTCTTCACGCTCCATGCACACACACACAAAATGATTCTATGAATTCAAGTAGACTACCATTATTGATCCGTTAAGAGAAAGACAGGGAAGAATCAATTCCTTTCTTTCACAAGTAAAACATTTATTGAAATTTTAAAATTGTTAAACCTGTTCATTTTATTAAATTATCAAAATTTAAAATTGGCATACAGCTTTGGATACCGAAAGGAGGTTTCTGGGTAGATTCTGCTTGTAAATTCTTAAAATCAAAATTTGATTCAAGTACTATAATTCAAAATTTTTATTGCATTATAATAAATGAAAATTCTCAAAAATCGTCAGTCATAATGTTTCATCTCGCCATTATTGTGTATATAGAAGATTTTATAAATTTATATTTTGTGAAAATACAACTAGCGAATCAACGTCAATATTCAATGTATTTGGAACCATGACGGAAAAGGCTAACTCGATTCGCGGTTTGGTCGAGGAAATTTTCTCTATTAACCAAGTTGGTATAATTGAACAGCAAATATCTGAATGCAAAGATTGTATACGCTTTGAACTTTTAGGCTGTGATGTGTAGTGAAAGTTCACTTAAAATTGACACTTCGAAAATAAATTAAAATGTTCGAAAATCCCTCTTTTGTTGATCGACCGATATCGACTAGGTGTTTGCCGAAATGAATTCCTTGTGTGTAAAAAATAAGTACGCTGGAATAGCTGGGTTATTTGAAAATTTCACATCTGTCAAATTTATTTGAAAATTCACCAAATGGCCTTAATTAAAAACTGCACTAATTTAATGGTACGCATTGGCCTATATGAGTAAAATGAGTTTACTTTACTTCCCCGTGTTTTTCTTCTGGCGAAAGTAAAGTAAACTATTTTATTCATACGACCCATTGCGGATATGCTAAATCATTAAGACGGACTGAAATAAATAAAAAAAAAAAAAAACATCGACGCGGAAACAGACGTGTTCATGAATATCGTGATAGATAGAGTTGTCTATACTGTCGCTCATTGCAAGTTTGTTCCAAAACACAAATCAGCTTCTGTAAAACCTAAAATAATGATTGTGAGACGAAGCAGCCAATGCAATGACTATAAGTCTCTGTAATAAAGAAAAAAAATATTAAATATGCATTCGATTTAAGCAATTTGCATCCATTTCATTATTAGAAAATAAAATTCTTAGCTAGGATAGATGTGCCAGTCATGGCTATACGATCATATTATGGTGTGTTCCAGTTATGGTATATGGGAATTCTATAAGCCATGATAGGAACACACCATAAATGGAACGTGCATTAGAGTGCCTCATTTTGAAAAAAAGTATTTGCAATCATTAGGGCCACCATCCAGTGTCATTGATAATCCCAAAATATGAGCTAGCACAAACAATTCAAGCTGAACATTGCATTAGGTCCTAAGTAGCATTGACAGATCCTCTTCGTCGACTTTTTCTTTGTATCCCCACGGCCATGTAAAGCACACAGATCGATAAAAGAAGCTTTTATCTAGCATCTAATACGACAAACACAACAAGAATCAGTTATGTGCTCAAGTTATTAACGAAAGAGAAAGTCGTCGAAGAGAATCGATCTATGTTACTTAGGACCTAATGCAATGTTCAGCTTGAATTGTCAAGATTTATGAAGGTGTAGATGTCGCGTAGATGTGTGTGTGTGTGTGTAGAGGTTAAGTGCACGTACAGACATATGGACGGATGGGACTTCCAAATTATAAGCTGTAGCTTAGAGGGAGAATAGAAATAATGGTGAGAAAATTTAAATTTTCTTTGCATTGGCAGGTGCTTGATAACGACCTAACAGCAAATATAAATGAGGTTGGAAGGACATATTAAGTCAGAAGCTGAAAGCGTGTCTTTTAAGCTTATTAGCTCGATACATAAAGATTTTTTTAATTTCACCACTATCGCTCTATCTTTGGTTCATATTGTCAGAATTTTGTAAAAAGGTTATATTTGGTTGCCATTACAACGATAAACAAGCCAGTAGTTTTTGTGCTGTTGTCAGGCACATACAGTGAAGTCTTTTTTTACACGGTTTTTTTACGCGGTTTTGTTTACACGGTTTTTCGCGATTAACACGGTACATTTTTAACGATTTCTCGACAACGATACAACTTATCGACTTGATTCCAATCACATTATCCGTTTCAAGGCAATCGAATGACATACATAGAAAAAATCGCAATTTTGGTGTAAATACAGAAATTTTATGTTTATATGGACCATAGCATGCTATAATTACAAATGGCATTAAAATCCGATTTTTTAAAAACATTTAAGCATGTGAAATATCAAAATCTCGTAGGTTTTTTTTACACGGTTTTTTACACGATACGTATCCCCGTGTAAAAAAAGACCTGAGTGTATTAAATTGTATAGATTTATTCGCATTTTCTGGGATAGCTAGCAATCTGACCGTAACAATAACAGTTTTGATGATCTTTATCATAACGACCACATATCAAATTTTTAAAGCATTTAGACAGCTAGAAACAAAATTAGAGCAATATAAATTAAATTTAAACTGCTTCCATAGTAATTCTAACTGCAAACGATTTGTATGACATCTAAACCTTCATCAATATTTACCATATTTGGCACAAACATATAATTTGAGGTCATGAATCACACTGGAGGATGGCCTATGGTATTGTATTGTATAAAATGAAGCACCCTACGGGTTAGAGTGATGCAAAATTTAAAATTTTTGCTCCACAGTACTTAAACGATTCCAAATCGGATTCTGACTAACCTCTCAAAATTTGAACCAATTTGGTGAGAAACTGAGATGGCACAAACCATTTGAAGTTTGTATGGGAATTACTATGGTAAAACCAAGATTTTTGTTCATGTCTATCTAATAATTCACCATATCGATCTGCTTCAAAAACTTTCAACTATACTTGTAGGAAATTTTTCCAGCTACAACTTTGCTCAATACCACTTTCTGATTAAATCCAAGGATCGAAAGTTATCAATGGTTAAATGCGCTGATGTCTTATGATCATGCTCAATCAACTGCTCAGCAGGCAACATTGGTGTTTCTGGGGCATTGAATAGGACACACAAATCATGGCTACTATGTCACACCGCAAAATACACTGTTGCCTACAGAGCAGCTGCTTGATCATGTCATAAGTTTACCAATCTCTTAAATAATTAATAACTTTTTCATGTCTCGTTTTACATAGAAACGATCTTGAGCAAAGTTGTAGCTGAAAAAATTTTCTATAAGAATGGCTACCGAACTGTTTCGCAGCTCAATATGGAAAAAGACTAGAAGGCAATGAACAAAAAGTTGAGATTTCCCATAGTAATTTACATGTAAACTTCAAATGGCTTGTGCGAAGTCTGTTTCTAACCAAATGAGTTGTAACTTTGGGAGGCTAATCAGGACCCGATTTGAAACCATTTAAGCCCTGTGGAGCGAAAAGTCAAATTTTGCATCAGTCTACTACGGGTACACCTACCCTATGTGTCAGGTTTTCTAATTAAAGGGGACGGCATATTCTTTTCTTCTGAACTAATATGTTGTTCTCATTCGCAAATGGTACGAACTTGCTTTGCATAATGAATAAAAAACCAATTTTATTTTTATGCACATATAATTGGAATAAATAGTTATTATTTATTATTATGCACATATAATTGCAATATTTTTTTTTCTTTATTAGAGTGACTTTCAGCCACTGGCTGGTTCGTCACTTCTTGGAATAAATAGCTACAAAAGCAATTAATGAATTCAGTTACTTAAGTGGAGATTTACGTAAATTAGAATGTTTAAATACAGATGATTGCATACAGCTCAATCACCATTTCGTCGCAATCAGTATACGTATTGAAGGATAGAGGAAAAGCTAAATCTACACATTTGCAATAATATATAAATATTTAGTACTGCACCAAGCAGTCAGTTTTAAAATTATTGTTTGCACTTTGCCTAAAATACGAATTTAAGGAGTCAGGGATCAACTTTTCATAAAATCAATAATTTAAACTCGCTGTTTCGCTTTTTAATTATTTTTGTTGCTTTTAGTATTCAAAAATCGCTCATAATTGCTTATACAGTGTGTGTTAGCGAAATATAACCAGTAGAAATCGTACCATCACTAAACATGGTATTTCTTTGTAATTTGACATCCCATTTTCATGAAATATTCAAGATTAATGCACAGTGCCTCAATGTCTGAAATTTCATTAAAATTCGCTATCAAATAACAGGAATATAAATGTTTTTATGACGATACTATTACAAGTGGCTCTTTTGTTCTGACTGTATCTGCTTATATGTAATTATATATATATATATATCTATATGTGTGTGTGTATGTGTATGTGTGTGTGTGTGTGTGTGTGTGTGTGTGTGTGTGTGTGTGTGTGTGTGTGTTTTTTTTTTTTTTTTTTTTTTTTTTTTTTTTTTTTTTTTTTTATAGTAAGGTTTAGGAAAGTTTCAAGAAGCCTGGCCTGTAGAGAAGGTGGCACGGTGTGGTATCCACTAGTTGCCTAGTGCAGCTCCACTAAAACCCATTCCTTACTCTCTCCTCTGCCTGGATCCCCCCGGGACCACTGTGAAGCGACTACTTCGGGGGGTGGCTGTGCTCATGCACTTGTCGTACTCTCAGCGCTAGCTGGCGTTGCTAGATCGCTGCTCTTCTCTCCATTTACGCTGTAGCTCTGACATAATCTGCGTGACTGCCCTGCTGACGGCATTCCAAGCGTCCTCCTCTCGACACATTTCATCGACGACATTCTCCACGTTAAGGACGGGCATCTCCGTTCGCACTGCCTCGAACCTTGGACAGTCAAAGACCACATGCTCCGGCGTTTCATCGACGTTGCCACACTCCGGACAGAGGGGTGACGCTGCGTGTCCGAACCGATGCAGGTATTTCCTGAAGCAGCCGTGGCCAGACAGGAACTGCGTTAGGTGGAAATTGACTTCTCCGTGTTTTCTGTTCACCCAGGTCGAAAGAATCGGTATTAGTCTATGTGTCCATCTACCGTTCTCCGTCGTGTTCCACTCCTGTTGCCACTTAGCCAATGACTCCACTCTCACAACTTTCCGTACTCTTCCGGCTTCTCTCTGCCTGTAGCACTCGCTGTCCTCCGCCAGGGTGATGCCGATAGGGATCATACCGGCGATAACGCATACTGCTTCCGACGAGATGGTTCTGTACGCACTAACGACTCGCATGGCCATGAGCCGGAACGTACTGCTCAGTTTCCTTTGGTTCTGCTTCGTTTCCAGCGCTGGAACCCAGGCTGGACCTCCATATCTCAGTATCGATGATGACACGCTGGCCAGAAGACGCCTCTTGCTACTGCTGGGACCAGCGTTGTTCGGCATGATTCTAGCTATCGCGTTGATGGCCTTCGAAGCCTTCTCACAGGCATATTCGACGTGGCTGTTGAAGTTTAGCCGGTCATCGATCATCACTCCCAGGTATTTTAACACACGCTTCGAGGCTATGGTGTGCTCCCCGACGGTGATTTCTGCCCGCTGTACCGCTTTACAGTTACTGACCAATAACACTTCCGTTTTGTGGTGGGCTATTTGCAGCTTCGCTCCTTTCATCCAGTTACCAATCATGTCGATTGCCTCGGTTGACAACACTTCCACCTCTTCCAGCGTCTCGCCTGTTACCGTCAAGACGACGTCGTCCGCAAAGCCAACGATCTCAACTCCTTTGGGCAGTTTCAGCGTTAGCACGCCGTTGTACATCCCGTTCCAGAGCGTTGGACCAAGGATGGAGCCTTGTGGAACTCCCGCTGTGATCCTAATCGATCTCTGTCCCATGTCTGTCTCGTAGACCAGAACCCGGTTCTGGAAATAACTCCTCAGGATCCTGCACAGGTAGTCAGGGACCCTCATTCTATGCAGTGCTTCGGTGATGGCCTCCCAGCTGGCGCTGTTGAACGCATTCTTGACGTCGATCGTTATCACGGCGCAATATCGATCTCCTCTCCGCTTCTGTTTGGACGCCTTTTCAGCTCTCTCGACCACTGTCCGAATTGCATCCACCGTCGATCTCCCTTTCCGGAATCCGAACTGCCTCTCCGACAATCCGTGCTCACTCTCCGTGTATTTCGTCAGCCTGTTTAGGATGATCCTCTCCAAGAGTTTTCCGAGTGTATCCAGCAGGCATATAGGCCTGTATGATGCTGGATCCCCCGGCGGTTTTCCTGGTTTCGGCAGCAACACTAGCTTCTGTATCTTCCACCTCTCAGGGAAGTGACCCTCGTTCAGGCATTTCTGCAGCACCATCCTGAACATGTCCGGGGATGACTGGATCGCCGCTTTCAACGCTACGTTGGGGATTCCATCCGGACCGGGAGCTTTCTTCACCTTCAATCCTTTCGCCACTACTACGAGCTCCTCGTTGGTGATTTCGACGTTATCTCCCTCTCCTTCTCCGTACGGTGTAGGTGGCCAGGTTGTTGGGTCGTGCTTCGGGAAAAGTCCTTCCACGATGACTTTCAGCTTCTCTGGGCACATTTCAGCGGGCATCGTTGGACCTCTGATCTTCGCCATCACGACTCGGTATGCGTCGCCCCAGGGGTTGGCATCAGCGTCTCGACACAGCTCCTTAAAACAGTTCGACTTGCTCTGCTTAATTACTCGTTTAAAAGCGGCCCTGGCCGCTCGAAACACTTCTCTTCGTTCCTCTCTGTCTGCTTCCGTTCTTGCTCTCTGAACACGTCTTCTGGCTCTGAGACAACTAGCGCGGAGAGTGCTAAGTGCCTCGTTCCACCAGTAGACTGGACGCCGTCTGTTATTTGGCTCCAGTTTCCTCGGCATGGTCGTGTCACATGCTCTCACTAACGTTTCTGTCAGCTCGTCCGCATTTAGATCTACGGGACTCCCGTCCACACGAAGTGCCTCAACGAACAAATCCTTGTCGAAAGCTTTCGTCTTCCACTTTCGGTCACAAGTTCTCGTCCTCCGTACTGCCACAGTATTCCGTTGACCGATGCCATATCGTATCGCCTGATGGTCGCTATGGGTATATCCTTCGCACACTCTCCAATCCATGTTTGCCATCAGCGACGGACTGCAGAAAGTAACGTCGATAATGGATTCTCGGCCATCTCTGCGAAAAGTGCTGCTGGTGCCTTTATTGGCCAGCATAACTTCCAGTTTTGCCAGAGCTTCCAACAGACTGTGCCCTCTTGCATTGGAACACCTGCTTCCCCACTCCACTGCCCAAGCATTGAAGTCTCCTCCGATGACTACCGGTCGTCGTCCGACCAGCTCTTCGGTAAGTCCATCAAGCATCTCGTGGAACTTCTCCATCGTCCATCTGGGGGGTGCGTAACAACTACACATGAAGATTCCGTTGATTTTGGCGATCACGAAGCCTTCGTATGAGCTCGCAACCACTTCTTGAATGGGGTATCTGCCCATAACTTGTATAGCTGCCATCCCAGCTCTATCCGCAACCCAGTTACCGTTATCGGGAGGGACTCGATACGGTTCCGCAATGATTGCAACGTCGCACTTTGTTTCTGTTGTCGACTGCCACAACAGTTGCTGAGCAATGTCGCAATGATTGAGGTTTATTTGGGTTACCTCCATTACTGTTGGCCTGCCATCGCCTTTTTGTATGCTAGGCATTTGAAGCCTCCCGTCGTATGATCGTTACCGTCCTCTTTTTTGCAGAGCATACACCTCGGATGCTGCGTGCAGCCTCTTGCAATATGGCCTTTCTCTCCGCATTTCCTGCACAGATCAGATCTGTCAGGGCCATTGCAGTTCCTCGCCTGGTGACCGAATCCCATGCACTTGAAGCATCGCTCCAATTGCTTGGTAACCCGAGGAGTGGCTTTCAGCGAGCACAATGACCAGCCAACCTTGACCTTGCCCGTCTCCAACAGCTTATTCGCTGCAACTGTCGAAAGCCGTATAACCGCCGTTTGCATGCCGCCGTACGCCTTCCTCATGCGGATTGACATCGGGACATCTCCCAGATCGCAGTGCACTCTCAACGCACTTCTTAGCTCCTCTTCTGTGGTGATCTCGTCCAGGTCCCTGCACTGTGTGTGTGTGTGTGTGTGTGTGTGTGTGTGTGTGTGTGTGTGTGTGTGTGTGTGTGTGTGTGTGTGTGTGTGTGTGTGTGTGTGTGTGTGTGTGTGTGTGTGTGTGTGTGTGTGTGTGTGTGTGTGTGTGTGTGTGTGTGTGTGTGTGTGTGTGTGTGTGTGTGTGTGTGTGTGTGTGTGTGTGTGTGTGTGTCAGCTTTTCCAAAGCTAGGTAAAAAAAAATCCGCAGCCATTATATTCACTGAAACGAGACCTTTTTTTCTGACTTCCCTTAGGATCTTTTCCCACCTGAAGGTCATAATTGGAGGAGTATAGTGTTTTCTCTATTAGTAATCGGATTTGTTATATCTGGGATTGTTACAGCTATATATCTTTTAGGGTAAGTATTGTGCATTGGACAAATAAGCTCCTTTTTACTGTGAAGAATGTGCGAGTTTACATCAAATCGACTAACTCAGACAACCAGAATGTATGTATATCAAAGTTGTTTTTGCGATATGTGAACATGTATAACAAAAAATAAATCGTATCTGTAAATGCACAAAAACCCATTTAATTTTCAAGATATACAATTGATATAAGGAGAGCAGTAGCAAATATAGTTTGACAAAGCTTACGATTTTATCCAATTGTAGCATGATACAAAAATAACTCATCGAATATAAGTCGTAAATTTGCATTTAATCATAATTCGATTAATTTCATTATTATATGCGATGTTGACTTGATCTGTTGCGCTTTACGATTCTTCATATGCATAATTTATTATACAACTTCTGGTTATCTGGGTGTACTTATATTTATAAGGCCAGAAATAAGTGGTCCGAAGGCGAAAAGTGCATTTTAATCACAGTATTTGTACTTTTGAGGAAGTCCAGTTTAAGTTTCAGAAACCAATGTTATTATGATGTTACAGCTACGTTGATGAATTGCTATATTGGTCTGGCAAGCGGATGAAACTAGACGATTTTCTTCAGAAGGAAATAATACCACAGAGGCTTCCTTCTATGTGGATAAATAGTAAAAAATTCGTCTTTCAATCTGATGATGGAGGGCTCGCTGTACTAGACACTGCCACGAATACTGTGTCAACATTGGTAACAAACCATACCATAGTAAGTAGAAGAGTTTCTCGTGCTTGTGGTTTTGTTTAGTTGTTTAACCTTTATTTATTTTTCAGCGCCAAATTAACGTGAAAGGTTATCAATGTTCACACGACTTGCGATATGTACTGTTCAAGCATAACGTGAAACAAGTAAGTACATAAACAAAACGTCTGCTTGAAATTAGTTGTTTATAGAATTAGCCTAAACAGATTTAGATCATATATTTCTTATTAATTGTTTCTTTATCTTATAGTTGCTTCAATTATGCTCCATTTATTATAAAGTTTTAAATAGTGTGTGCATTTTAGTTTAAAACTGAATATGGTAAAAGTAGGGTGACGTCCATGCTCAGGTTCAAAACTGAATATGGTCGTAGTGAAATTTTATCCAAACCCATTTGCTTTCTAAAATACAAAGGACAAAGGGCAGCAAAATAGAAGAAACAATATTTAAATTCAAGAGAAAATTATCATTATGTCGAAAGTAACGTTCGCACCGATCCGGGAAAAATAAAATTTTGTTTTGATGACCGAAAAGTTATTGCTATTTCCAATTAAACACATATAATCTCATAATGATAGCAATGTTTAATAGTTTAATCAGGGTTTTAATCATACAAAGCAGATTGCTAGCTTTTATGCTAAAAAATACTGTTTTTTTGAGTTAAAAGTTATTATACATCGTTTGGTGGCCCTCTAATGTTACCTAATTCAAAGTGTATTTACCAGCATATTCGAGAGAATTATCAATCACGTCTTCTTACGTGCAGCCCATTCATCATTTAAGGACCACCAAAATCATCTTAGCAACAAACAGTTCGATTCATTCACTTTAATAATGAGAAAGCGAAACGACGAACGTACACTTTTCAAGGGTTTCTCTGCACTGTTTCTTAAGACAAACGACATCCCCATAGAAATCGGGTGATTTAAGTAACATCGAAAAATATTTGATCGGAAGGTGATTATTTCAAAAAGCAATTTGACTGGTAAATAAATTTAAAAATGGGATGTGATCCTATATTCGGACAGTATATTGTGTAATAGCAGGAGCATCGATTGACACTGATAGCTCGACTTTGTTTACCTTTGTTACTTTCGAAGTAATGAAAATTTGCTCTTGAATTTAAGACTCGATTTTGAAATTATTTTCCTTCTTAAAAACATATGAGGTCAGTTTAGGCTGTTACAAATACTTAAAAAAAAAAGATGTCCTGTCACAAAAAAACAAATTTTAACTTAGGTTTGTTGGGCGCGTTTGTATGTGAGTTAGAAACCAAAGATTTAAGTAAGCTAAAGGAGAAAAATCTATACAACTCTCTAATAAGGAAAATCCCCAAAGGCTCATGGATACCAAAATTTATTAAGTGGAATTAAATGGAAGATAACCTTTTTTGCTGTTTTATTTAGCATTCCGCTAACAACCCAATTTCATTACTTCATTATGATGGCTACCAAGCCTTTGGGGATTTTCCTTATTAGAGAGTTGTATAGATTTTTCTCCTTTACCTTACTTAAATCTTTGGTTTTTATTAGTTAGGTAGGTTCCGATTCAACACATTGTAGTTTCATTTTTATACCTATGATCTTGACTTTCTTTACCTAGGGGATGAGTACTTAAGGGGGTTAGATTTTGATAAGTTCTTTAGTGGGAATGACACTGATGAAGACTGCACATTGTAGTCGAAATACGTATCTGTCATGGATACCAAAATTAATTAAGTGGAATTAAATGGAAGATAACCTTTTTTGCTGTTTTATTTAGCATTCCGCTAACAACCCAATTTCATTACTTCATTATGATGGCTACCAAGCCTTTGGGGATTTTCCTTATTAGAGAGTTGTATAGATTTTTCTCCTTTAGCTTACTTAAATCTTTGGTTTTTATTAGTTAGGTAGGTTCCGATTCAACACATTGTAGTTTCATTTTTATACCTATGATTTTGACTTTCTTTACCTAGGGGATGAGTACTTAAGGGGGTTAGATTTTGATAAGTTCTTTAGTGGGAATGACACTGATGAAGACTGCACATTGTAGTCGAAATACGTATCTGTCATGGATACCAAAATTAATTAAGTGGAATTAAATGGAAGATAACCTTTTTTGCTGTTTTATTTAGCATTCCGCTAACAACCCAATTTCATTACTTCATTATGATGGCTACCAAGCCTTTGGGGATTTTCCTTATTAGAGAGTTGTATAGATTTTTCTCCTTTAGCTTACTTAAATCTTTGGTTTTTATTAGTTAGGTAGGTTCCGATTCAACACATTGTAGTTTCATTTTTATACCTATGATCTTGACTTTCTTTACCTAGGGGATGAGTACTTAAGGGGGTTAGATTTTGATAAGTTCTTTAGTGGGAATGACACTGATGAAGACTGCACATTGTAGTCGAAATACGTATCTGTCATGGATACCAAAATTAATTAAGTGGAATTAAATGGAAGATAACCTTTTTTGCTGTTTTATTTAGCATTCCGCTAACAACCCAATTTCATTACTTCATTATGATGGCTACCAAGCCTTTGGGGATTTTCCTTATTAGAGAGTTGTATAGATTTTTCTCCTTTACCTTACTTAAATCTTTGGTTTTTATTAGTTAGGTAGGTTCCGATTCAACACATTGTAGTTTCATTTTTATACCTATGATCTTGACTTTCTTTACCTAGGGATGAGTACTTAAGGGGGTTAGATTTTGATAAGTTCTTTAGTGGGAATGACACTGATGAAGACTGCACATTGTAGTCGAAATACGTATCTGTCATGGATACCAAAATTAATTAAGTGGAATTAAATGGAAGATAACCTTTTTTGCTGTTTTATTTAGCATTCCGCTAACAACCCAATTTCATTACTTCATTATGATGGCTACCAAGCCTTTGGGGATTTTCCTTATTAGAGAGTTGTATAGATTTTTCTCCTTTAGCTTACTTAAATCTTTGGTTTTTATTAGTTAGGTAGGTTCCGATTCAACACATTGTAGTTTCATTTTTATACCTATGATCTTGACTTTCTTTACCTAGGGGATGAGTACTTAAGGGGGTTAGATTTTGATAAGTTCTTTAGTGGGAATGACACTGATGAAGACTGCACATTGTAGTCGAAATACGTATCTGTCATGGATACCAAAATTAATTAAGTGGAATTAAATGGAAGATAACCTTTTTTGCTGTTTTATTTAGCATTCCGCTAACAACCCAATTTCATTACTTCATTATGATGGCTACCAAGCCTTTGGGGATTTTCCTTATTAGAGAGTTGTATAGATTTTTCTCCTTTAGCTTACTTAAATCTTTGGTTTTTATTAGTTAGGTAGGTTCCGATTCAACACATTGTAGTTTCATTTTTATACCTATGATCTTGACTTTTTTACCTAGGGGATGAGTACTTAAGGGGGTTAGATTTTGATAAGTTCTTTAGTGGGAATGACACTGATGAAGACTGCACATTGTAGTCGAAATACGTATCTGTCATGGATACCAAAATTTATTAAGTGGAATTAAATGGAAGATAACCTTTTTTGCTGTTTTATGAAAATAAATATTTTTGAGCTTCTTGATATTTTGTGTCAGGTTTGAAGGGGAAGGGGAGTGGGGGCTGACAATTTTGTTATAATATTTGTTAAGGCCGTCTTAACATTTAGATACCCTTACGTTTAGTTTTATACTTATTTTTGATATTTGATATTATTAACAGGTGATTGTCTAAATGTGTGTAGCGGGTGGGTCAACTTTGTATAATGGTCTGCAACCCCCTGCTCCCCCCAATGAATTTAAGATCTCTAACAGCTGTGCGTAATTTGAACGAGTTTGACTAGCGAGATAATTTTAAAGTTAGAATGGAAAAATTTATAGGAAACAGAAAGAAAATATTTAATTTAACTTTGAAAAAATACAATTTTAAAATTGCGCAATTAATGTATTGCCCATATGTGAGACTAAGATTTGGCAAACTATGCAGAGCAACATTTCCGATGCCCGCAAATCGTTTCGACTTCTGTGTAAAAAGTAATTATGCTTTGCTCTGCGTGTACCTTTTTTTTTTTTTTTTTTTTTTCTATTATGGTCACTTTAACGCCCTTAGGTCATTCGTGACTTGTCTGGGGGTGAGATTTGAACTCGTGACTTTGGCGTGAGAGGTATGGATGTTAACCACTACGCCGGGGTCACCCCCTGCGTGTACCTATATGGCGTATGTGAACATACTGGGCAGCTTAGGGTATCCCGCTAAATGATAAACGCTATATCGTAAATAACTTTTTACATTGTTCGAATCGATTTCCGGTTATGTAAAAGGTTGTCCTGCATAGTTCACTTAGTATAAACCTCAGGTGTGGACAATAAGACAAATTAGACTGATGCAAATTTTATTTTCATGTTATGCCCTTCCCCCAATTCCTAAAATTGCAAAATATGGAATGGGAAAAAAGTTACACCGGAAGAATTATATATATTTTTTAATAATAAGTTTTGCGATCATATCTTAAATATTAGCATAAAACTATTTAATTTTGAATGAATAGGGTAAATGACGGCTTCGGCAATACCTTATTCCATTATCGTCAGGTGGTAAACAACGTTCTTTAGAGTTCAATTTTGGCATGTGGATACATTGTGTTTCAGAGCATTTATTGACCAAATTTGAGTGCTCTAGGACTTTGTTTACCCCCTGACGATAATAGGTTAAGGTTTTGCCAAATCCGACATTTCCCCTATATATTTAATTTAGTCAAGAAATATTTATTTCTTGCTGTCCCTTGCTTTTCAATTACTCCCCTTCTCAATCTATCTGAGTGATGCCGGACATAAAATGAAAATAACATTTGCATCGGCATTAGTTTTTGTTTTTTCCTTTTCTCATATGTTTTTCCATACAAATTTTAAAAATCATCCGGAAATCTAGATCGCATCCAATTTTGCTCAAATTTGCCCCGGTTTTTGGGGACCTCAATACAAATCGAATAAGTTGTGGGGAGTGAGGGGTTGTAAAGTTGACCCACCCTAGTGTGTAATCAAACATTGTTTAATTTTTCAGGTTTACCGAATATCGTTCACTGCACTATATACTGTGTATGATGTCGCTAATGAGTAAGTATGAATAAACTTTAAAACAGGGTTCAAAACCAGGTATAGAGAAGAATATGACTGATTCCATAACGCCAACGAGCAGAAGCCCGAGTTGGCCCGAGATTTGCGGATGAGCTTCCGAGAAAATGAAAATTTCGATAAACTAGACCTACCTCAAGAGTGTAAATAACTGAGAACCTAATCTGAAACACATTTCGTGAAATTTGATTGAACTAATTGCTTATCGAAATTGTTATACAGTTAGATATCAATGTTGCCAACTCACAGTATAAGTTACACCGGGGCAAGTGGGACCTAAAAAAATGGTTGTTCAGAATTTTGTGCTATTCATTATTTTCATATTTTAAAAAGCACAGTAATTTCCTGTTGGCATCCCTGCACAAGTGTATGCACATAAAAAGAAACCAAATATTCAGCTTAAAACAATCTGAAATAATACTCAATAAATGCACAATTAGGACTCACTTTACCCGTTCATCGGGGCAAGTAGGACCATTTTTTGATATTAAACACAGCACATTGAAGTGCAGCCACTTTGATGTGATAGGGGAAATGTCTCTAATGTAGGCCTATTGATCTAAGGTTGGGCCAATAGCTAAACATCTGCTATTTATCAATTTTATCTAGATGAACGCGTCATTGGAACGGTACTAACGGATATTTTTGGTCGCTATTGAAAACTAGCTTATTGAAAACTTAGTCGATTGCTGAATTTATGTATGGTAGAGCGCTACTTCACCGTAATCGCCCATTTCCGTTCTATCGATCAGAAAAGATCAATCATATCAACACAGATGAGGCTGGTGAGTTCTATGTTGTTTGGAACGAGGGTGACGCGCTTGGCATAGATGGCCCACAGCGGTCAGTAGCGGTGCGGCTTCTTCCTCCTTCGGAGAATGGACACACATGTGGGCTGCAGTTCGCTGCTTGCGCCTTTCGTCGTGTACTGGAGAACAATGTTCAACGCCATGTACCAAAAGCACTGCTGCTGCTGCTGCTGCTGCTGATGATGATGATGACGACTGACCGGACACCAGCACACACGTTGATTGAATAAACACCGTTCAGTGAGACCGAATGGAATTCGATATTGAAATCTGTTACAGGGAAAGCGCTTTTTGCAGACATTCGGTGATAATTTTGATCACCATTGCAACAGTTGCACATTTGTGTAATTTTCAATAGTGACCTAGTGTTAGTGTTCATTTAAGCAGATTTGTAAAAAAATTTCCAATCGATTCGCTTGTTTAGAATTAAAATCCATCCGATATTGACAGACAAAACCTGACCACTTTTCGTAACGCGGTCGATTTTGGTTTTTTGAAATTGCACCCCCAATATGATGCCGAAACACGAAATCCTACGTCAAAACTCTCACATATACAGTCAGATTGCAGAAGAACATTAGGGCAGTTAGGTCGGTAGAGTGGCCAATATCTAAGCATATGTTCTTCATCTCTACGGTCTTTTAACAAAGCACTAACCTAGTAAGGTTTATGTGTAGCTCTTAATCCCACCGCCAAGAATTCACTCGATTTTATTTTTTAATAGAGCGTCCTACACACTTAGAAATAATCGCCGACTTCGGTAATTTTTACCGAAATCCGAACAGCTGAACTTTTCGGTAAAATTTATGCAATTCAATTCAATTGCTTTTCAGCTACTTTGAAACTAAATCTCCACTAAAATGACAAGATTTGATCATTTCAGCAAGGTTGAACATGTTTTGATATTATTTTCAAATTCAATAGCCTTTAAGGTTCAATTTACTTTGATGCATTTTTTAAAAATTCAAAAGCAGTTTTTTTCGACGCATTATTTTAGATTGCAAAAAGCTCGCGTCATTTTGTGTAAAATATCAAAAGGAATCGAATAGTGCGAGCTTTTTGCAATCTGAAATAATGCGTCGGAAAAAACTGCTTTGAAATTTTCCAAAATGCATCAAAGTAAATTGAACCTTAAAATGAACGTCAAAGTTTAACCAAACGTTCAGCTGTTCTGATTTCACAGATATTCGTAGAAAAATTACAGGAAAACTGTGAAAAATCACCGAACTGTTTACCGAACGTTCAGTTGTTGAGATTTCGGTAGAATTTCACAGTTTTCGGTAAAATAATTTTAGTGTGTATAAAACTTAGGCATTTTTATAGTAATTTAATTAGAATTATTGAATCAGTCTGGAATTAATAAACCGATAGCTAATAGTCAATTACTTAGGCTGTTAAGTATAAAAACTCCTTAAAGCTACTTTGAAAATGGATGCACATATGCAATTATTTATTATTTATATTTAGAATAATTTATCAGGTACTTTTTACTCTGTTTCCAGTCATCATATGCCTATAAGACTTAAAAGCTCTCCAAAACTGCAGACCGCTCGCTTGCAGTATGTGTCTTGGATTGGAAATACTACCGCAATAGCAATAGTAGCCGCTAACGACATATATATAAGACAATCACCATCGGATGAGGAGGATCATAGGCTAACATTTACAGGAGAAGAAAATACTATATACAACGGTGTACCTGATTGGTTGTATGAAGGTAATTGCATTTGTATGACAGATCTAAACGTGTCTGACCTCACAGTATTAACTTTAAAAAATACAATGCCCAAACATAAAAATAATTAAAATAAAAACATCATAGATAGATATGTAACCCAGCTCAATATATTCCAAATCGGGTCATGATCGTAATTAATCTTGTCAGTATATTGATGAGAAAAAGATAGTGTAAGCGTTTTGTTCCATACGAAAAGCAGCAAGGGACGCTACAACTGTTTTGATACAATTTACAATACGTACTGATAGCAAATTGACCCAGCTTTACATGTCAATGCCTACAACGAAATAAAAAAAGGGTTCAGTTTCATTCTTCAAATGATCAAAGGTTACGAATAAATGAGCTCAAATTTTTTAAGGAAGATTCGGACCTGATCTGGGAATAATTGAGTTGTTTGTTACATAATACCTTACCTATGGCCAGCTCATCAGTAACATAACTGTCATTATTGGTTTACTTTCAGAGGAAATTTTTACATCATTCGAAGCAATGTGGTTTTCGCCAGATGGATCTCACATATTGTATGCAACATTTAACGATTCACGCGTTGGGCAAATGACGTATCCGTGGTTTACATCGACTACAACGTTATCCGCTGGCAGAGATGATAATAGAACACTTTTTCCTATTTCTAAGCAAATGCGATATCCTACGCCGGGTTCGATTAACCCGGATGTAACTTTATGGGTTGTGGATATACGAAACCTTAGCAATATAGTAACTTCGGAATTAAGTCGGCCAGCTGCATTAGAAGGACAGTAAGTTTTTCATTAAAGAAAATCAAAATTGCACATATTACCGAAGAATTGTTTCCATTACAAAGCAATTTACTATAGGGGTATTTTCAATCGCAAGTATAAGAACCAGATCAAATGCAATTAAGTTTAAGCATTTACGAGAGTTTACACGTTAACGATGATACTCTTCATACGTTTTCCAATAAATTCCAACTCATATTATTATTATTTACACGTTTCTAGTAAAAATTGTTTGACTGGTTTTTTTTTTTATTTTGAGCTTCCAAATTTGTTGAATAGTACTATTACACTAGTCCATAGAGTTTTATCGTGCTTGCTAGTGAACTAGATCCCTTTATGCATCTTTTAGCTGAGTTCTCGATAAATTTTCTTCAAACAACCCACGCTAGTTATAGGGCTTCCCCCTATTTAAGACTTTCGTTGCCCATACCATTAAAATATTTTTTTTTAAATTTTCTTTCTAGGGATCACTATTTTTTATCCGCAAACTGGATGAAAGCTCCTTATATGCATATATCGACAGTCTGGATATCTCGACCTCAAAATTTATCTTTGGTGGCATCTTGTCAAAGTCCACATTGGCAATGCGAAGAGGTAAGATAAGAAAACGATACATTTTTATTTCCTTCATTTGAATAGACGCATTTCAGGCATCTGTCACCGTCACCGGCATCAGCGGTATTTTTGATTTTTTTTTTCTAAAAATTTAAGACCATTTTCATTTCTATGGTTTTATATTTTGTGTCGTAGCAGCAGGAACATAGAAGTCAAAAGCCCGGATACTTTAAGCAGCTCCATGCGAAATCTTCCTTAAAAAGCTAAAACCTGACACGAATCTTTCCGATTTAAATTAAACTTTGTCTATGGTTTCAACAGCAGCGTATCTTCCCATTTAGACCATTTGGTGTATCTTCCTATTTTGAGCATTTTTTAATTAAATATAAAAACTTCATGCTAAATGAGTGATATCAGGATTTTTTATTTAAAAAAATTCTTGCAAAAATAGCAGTCAATTAAAAACTTTCAAAAATAATTATGAGATGGTATAAAATTTATTAACAGATTTTGTAGAAGACTAGTTATTCATGGATTTATAAAAGTCTCTGTTTCCATTTATAATGATTTCTGATGTAATTTTGAACAAAAATGTGCATCGTGGTTATCTTTCTAAATGCTTCGAGATATTTAGAAAATAAATTAGAGAAATGTGTAGTTTTCCTGTGTACAAGCCTTTTTCATATGCTTGACGTGTTGTACTATCGCACAGTGGGAAAAAAAATCGACGTAAAAGGAGCAAAATGTATTACCGCAAATATAATCATTCGTATGAGAAAAAGTTTCAGAAATCCAATGGAAATAGTTTCATCCTGTGCAGAATACCAATTTACTCAAATATCTTGAAATTTTGCATAAATTACTCAAAAAATACCACCATAATAGATACGTTCTGAAATATTGTCACTCTTATGGCAAACATTCGGAGAATTCATTAAAAATAGTTTCATGCATCACCAGTCTGTGCAGACTACTTATTTTGATAAATGTTGCCCCTATTACCTAATTTTCGATATTTTTTTATAAGACTGTAGTCAGTGATGAGAAAACCTGTCCAATGATAGTCATTCGTGACGGAAAACACCTTAGGGATCCAAAAATTACAGATTAGATTACATCATAAGGTAAGCTGAGTACTGAGGAATCGAATGGTGATGGTCTCGTCTTGTGGGAAATTTTAGTAAATTACCATTTTGCCCAATTTCCCCCTTTTACTGCAGGAAACAAGTCATGATATACTTTTATACATATTTAATGGTGATGGTCTTATTTTGTGCAGACATCACCTAATTACACATTTTTCCCGATTTTCCCCAAGCAGTATCATAGGTTATTCGGATTCACGCATGTAATACTAGACTGGCACACAAAAATAAAAGTTCTATTTTTCCATGGGCCAACCTCCAGATTTGTGCCTTTAAGTGACAAACCATTCTCTGAAAGTTATAGCTCATTTGGTTGTAGGATCAGCTGGCGCTTTCAGTTTGAATTTTGTATGGGGATTTTGGAAAAAAAAATACATGAAACAATGACACTCCTACACTCTATCGATCATAAAAAAGTTTTCTTATTCTTGATTTGATTCAGATTTTCAAAACTTGTAGTTTAAACAATGAGTAACAACTGCATTATGAATCCGGTTAGTTTTATTAAGATACTAGCTGAGTGTGCCCGGCCTTGCTCGGGATTCAATATTGGCTTGAGTTTATGCGCCAATTAAAAAAAAAACATGCTTTATTGTACGAAGCCCCCCCCCCTTATCTAAGGGGCTACCCCCTATGACCTCCACATGCCAAATTTGGTTCCATTTGCTTGATTAGTTCTCGAGTTATGCAGAAATTTATGTTTAATTGTTATGTAAGCCACCCCCTCCCCCTTACAGAAGAGGGAGGGGTCTCGAACCATCATAAGAACCTTTTCCTGCCCCAAAACCCCTGCATACAAATTTTCCCGCCGATCGGTTCAGTAGTTTCCGAGTTTATAAGGGTCAGAAAGACAGACAGACAGAAATTCATTTTTATATATATAGATTCGCTTCTGAATGTATATGAGCATTTTGTATATAAAAATTTCAAACAAATCCCCTATATAAACATTAAATCATAAGCATTCAGATAATGATTATCTCACCTACTGACACAAGTTAGCCTGTGGAAGATATGAACTTTTATTTTTTAGTGGTAATCTAGTTGATACGTTGCATAAGCCGCCTGAATTTTGTTGCAATGTACAACGAAATTCAAGAATGAATATCACCATAATACTAACTTGAATCCTGATGCTGTCTTCAGCAAAGTTGTTTCTTATAGATTAAGCTGCATGTGCTCAAATTCTGAGCTTAAAACAGTTTGATGCACGAATGAGTGAAGGGATGTTATTCCTACATACATTTCGAAAAAAATCCCCATACCAACTTTAAGCCAAAAGCGCGAGCTCGTGTTACATCCAAATGAGCTGAAATTTTCAAAGAGTGGTTTTCTCACCTAACGGGACAAATCTGGGGGTTGGTCCGTTGAAAAAAATGATAATGAAACATCTCCCATATAAATGTGGGCCAGTCTAATGTTATATTGTATTGAACATTCATTAATTCTTCTTCTTATTCCTCGCATTTCAAGCTTATTGCGTATGGCATATTAGCTTATTGCATGCTCTCAACTTAGTGTTCTAGATGCACTTCCACAGTTATTAATTGAGAGAGCTTTCGATGCCTGTACCATTTTTTTGCATTAGTATAATTGTGTGGCAAGTACAATCATACTCTATGCCCAGGGAAGTTGAGAAATTTTCCAACCCGAAAAATTCCAAGACCGGACCGGGAATCGAACCCAGCCACCTCCAGCATGGTCTTGCTTTGTAGCTGTGCCTTTACCGACTGAGCTAAGGGAGGTCCCAACATTCATTCATTATCCATTTGCAAAAATGTATGATGAATCGAATAGTGATTGTCTAATCTGTGCAGACTTCAGATAACTGCCCATTTTCTCGATTCTCCCCTGTTACTGATGAAATCTTCCATAATAATTTCCAATACATGGAGGATTGATGGTGTTATACATCTCGTTTGTTAAAAATCGGCGATGGTATTAATTAATTATCCAGGAATACTTATTTATATATTTTTAGAAAACAACGATTACTACCGTAAAACGAGATCAAATTGATCAAAGTATATTTGATCACTAAGGTTACTCATTATTTTTTAAAGATATAATACTGTTTATGTTTAATAATGTTGAAATATGATCCATTCTTTTTTTATATCTAGTTCGTTTATTTGGAAGGCTCAATCGCGTTAGCTTTACGGAGCCGATAATTCATTGTTCTTTGTTTGTAACAAAATTTACTTAGTTCTATGTGTAGTAGGAGTTGGGCCGAATACTCACGGCTTACCCGAAGTTAGAGGGGTACATTGTCGAAGGATAGGATAAGGGGAGGAGCTTGGGGGTAGGGTTTCGTTGTCTCATGAAAGCGATGTCGCGGTAGTGTGGTTCTAGATTCGTCTGGAGTTCGACCGGCTATGGTGACCAGTCGACGACGATGGGGGACAAAACAAACAAAAACTAATAAAGAGATACAAGGATCCATTCTTACGCCCTGAAGCTGCAAAAATATTGAACTTGATGAAAAATAAGGAAATATATTAACCCCGCTGATCAAATAGATTCTGTTTACTCAAGGTTGGGCCTTGACTGTTTTTCTTTTTCACAGTGACAGGGTTAGGATGCGGAAAGTTGATATAAAATTCGTATTCTTTCCGTATGAATTTTCTTAAATCATAAAATCAATTAGGACTTTCCATAACATACTTATAATTAGTAATATATTTAATATTTATTCTTCATCGTGGCTGTCACTATAGTTCTCATATTCATCAGAATCGTCATCATTGTTACAAGGTTCGCTTTAAGGATTTATGAAATATTCTCTCATTTTTAGACAGAATTTTTCGTCAGAAGATCTTCTTTGTTTAGGACTGTGTGCCATAACCAATGTTCCGATCTTGGGATTCGAGCGAGTCAATGCAGAGTTCATCAGATCTGAAATTGGCCTCTGGAGAAGTTTTGCGAGCAAGATGGAGAAATAACGTAAAAATTGATAGTTTTGTTCCTTCTCGCAAAATATTAGAACCGTTTTATTTTTAATTTTGTCATTAGGGTAACCATTTCCATTAAAGTGGTCCAAAAAAATCCACTTTTTCAAAAATTTAAACCTGTAAGTCGGTATTAGAGATCAAAAAATCAAATGAAAAGAAAAAATATAATGTTTTTAAAATTTCGGGTTTTGTATTGAAAAACATTGGGGGCTGTTCATTAATCATGTTGACATTTTTTTGGGATTCTAGACCCCCTCCCCCTACGTAGACAATAGTCCATACACAATTTTTAAATTTTTTATGAGCCGTGGATAATTGCAACCCCCCCCCCTAAACTGTCTAAGTAGTTTATGAACAGCCCCTTGATTGTATTGGTTTTTTTAAGGTTTTCATGGTTTGTAGACAGAGGGCGCAATATGTTTTTTATATTTTTCCTTGCCACGAAATAACAAAAAATCAGCTAGGTATGTGTTGTTTTTCGTTTTTGAGTCGGGAACTGTACATCTAGATGAAAGATGTCCCTAGTCCCAATTTGGAGAAAAAAAATGGTGGAATAATCCCAACAAACATTGAATGTTGAATAAGAGCTTATGCAGGCAAAAATAAGCTTCTTCAGCTAAAAAATTGCTTATTCAGCTGTTGATCAACTCAAATTGTTTGTTGGGATGCTTTCACAATATGTTGACACAGTTCTATATGGTTGAAGCCATTTACTGCCAAAATTGTTTTTTTTTTTTACTTAACAATACCCTTGTATCGTGTTTTACTCAAACTTAATGTTTATTTGACTGCAGTGCCGGTGGTGTAGTGGTAAGCGTGATTACCTTTCACCCCAATAGGCCTGAGTTCAATCCCAGTCGGCTCCGCAGAAATCCAACTTGGCAGAACAGGCATACCAAATTTCCATGAAAATACGTTATATTGTGAATTTAATCCCGGTCGAAGAGCGTAAAACACTGCTGACCGGTAAATAAATATTTGCTTGGCCAAGTTACGTCTTTCAGGCTCGATGACAGAGATTTATTCTTTAAACTTTTTAAGGAAAACTAACTGAAAAGTCTTTATTTTTTCATTATATTTTAAGGTAATGCACATTAGGTTACGGAAAATAATATGTGAAATATTATTCTTTTTTGTTTTTTCCGCAGCATCATTCCGAACGAGCACCCGAGAACGAATGGCTGGATATATTACCTCATCCTGTTTTTGCTCCAGATGGGGACAGCTTTCTAATGATGGCTAGTGTTCAGGAAACGGGAACTGAACATTTTACTCATATAAAACATGTAACAATAACACAACAACGAATAGCTGTGATATCGCACGGACGTTATGAGGTATGATTCATCCAATAAAACTTATATTTCATATAAACATCAAAAATAATTAAAAAAATTCTCATCATCCTTATTAATTCAAATTATCAGGTTCTACGTATACTGGCATGGGATACATATAATCATCTGGTCTATTATCTCGGAACGCATGGTAAACGTCCTGGGCAGCAACATCTATACGTTGTGAAAGATCCCGTTAACGAGGAACTAAAAAGGTAAACATAGTTACAGTTAAATCGCAGACAAACAAACATACCACTGTGAATATGTTTGATAATAAATCATAATCTATCTATTCAATGATCGCATTGAATGAATCAACGATGATCAGTATGCAAAACGATATGTCTGTTTGTCTGTAATAAAACGGTGCACAGAATAGAAAGAACTAACATTTCATATTGCAGTACTGAAATAATCATGAAAATTATAGTTCATTAGAAAAATCTTTGAACCATTTTTCAAATTGTGGGACCTACAACTTTATGCAAAACAAGAAGGTTCAAAAGATAAACTCTCGCCACAGTTTGATCATGATGGTTTTACCTAATGTTTGCTATGCAATAATGAAACTTTCATTCATTTTAAAAATGTGTGACCTAGTCGGGTAAGATGAACACTTCTCTGTAGAAGCGATTAAAAAATGACGACTGCATTTTTTTTTTTCGAACTTATCACCCTCTTTTCCCGTGTGTCACGCATTTTCCTATACTTATTACATGTACTGGCACAACTTCTAGGACCCCGTCCCATCTTCAAGAGTGAACGTCATTTTGTAATCACCCTGTAGATGATTTGTATTTTTAGAGAACAATAAAAGGTTTTTATTTTTATTTTTCAAGTTTTATAATTGAATTTATTTTCTGATTTAAGATTCCAATGAAATTTTCAGACAGTATTTATACTTTACCAATTATCTGCAGCAAAATTTCAAATCAACAGAATTTTTTTTTCGTTCAAACAATTTTCATTGATGCCACCCCACGTTTGAATTTGTAAAATGAACGTTAAACATACTGCTATGCAAGTTCCCGTTTTATCCATCACAGGCGTTCGTCGAACTCGACCTGCATGCAAAATATCACCATTTAATCACCATTTTATTTTCCAAAATCATTTAGATTTGATTCAATTCATAGTAAATAAAACTATGGTTATTATCTTCTTTGTTAAAACAAAGTGAATTTAGCGAGGGGTGTAATTTTTTGAACATATTAAAACAGAAAACTCAATTGCTCCTATCCCAAAATGTAATATAACGATAAAGCAAAATATAAATTAACTTTACTGCACGGGGAGAACCGATATTGGTTCAGGTTCAGTTGGCATGATATCAAGGCCCAATTTATTCACCTCCGCTTATAGGAAGGTTAATCCATTATCAAAAAAGAAAAAAATACACAGTGTTTCTAGGCAAAAACAATACCCCAATGCACTAGGAAGTTTAAATCTTTCACTAGGTTTACCCATTTAGTCAAACCTTATTTATGGTTTATGCGCAGATGAAGAAATCGACCCTAATAGGTATTAAGTAGGATAGAGCACTACTTCGTGGAAATCGCCTATTTCCGTTCCATCGAGTAGAAAACATCGATCATACTAGTCCTGATGCCGTATTTAGGTGGAATATATTGTTTGTTCTTATAATCGATTAAAAAAACGCCTTTTCAAAAGTTAATTAAATGAGTTAAACATAGCTTCACAGTTTTGCACCGTACCCAAGGTACGAACTTATAAATGCAACTAACACCATAAAAATTCACTTGCGCCACGTTCAGATGTAAACATTAAAAATAACGTTTTTTTTAAATGAAAATCGATTATTACTTTTCAACAAAAAGTGATAGCAAAATATCTGCAATTAGCAATGCCCTTGCTGTATCTCTTCGGACCGACAGTATTCTAATATGGAGCGAGACAAGGAGCAGTACAACGATTGAAGGCAGTAGATATCCGTGAAATCTTTGGCAACCCTAAAATTATGGAAGCTTTGTCGACGGCGTGCGAGATGTGCTGCTTGAAAGAGAGTTGTGTATCCAGAATCACACCTAGGACCTTAATTTGGTTGACGCGCTCAATTTCAGTGCATAACAAAACATACTTGAACATAATAGTCTGTTTCTTGCGCGAAAAAGAGATAACCGAGCATTTGGACGGGTTAACCTACATATGATTCAGAATACCAATCACCAAAAGCATTCAACTGACGTTGAAAGAAGCAACAGTCTTCAATTGAGTGAATTCGAAAGAAGAGTTTAAGGTCATCTGCGTAAGTTAATCGTGGTCCCTCAATTACTAGATTCACGTCGTTGAAGTAAATCAGGAAAATCAGCGGACCCAGGTGACTACCCTGGGGTATGCCGGACGTGGCAGCGAACATACGGAATTGGTGATCACCAATGACAACAGTAAGATAGCGATCGGTGAAACCATAGCAAAAGACAGCCGTGGATACCAAGCCTGTCCAGTTTTGCGATAGATATGCGGTGATTCAATTTATTGAAGGTTGCAGATAAGTCAGTATAAATGACATCCGTTTGAGCAGATCCGACATACTGTTAGAGATTTAGGAAGTAAGGCACAGCAAGTTACCCGAGCAAAGTTAGAGATCAAATTGAAATCAGAATTTGCTGTTATGACGTAACTTATTTTGAATACTCCATTTGATCTCATTTTGGTTGACTTAACGGTTAACACAGCAAAAATGAGAATAAAATTTTACACTGTTGAATCAAACGGAAAACTAATTCTGCTTTCAATGAAATCAATTTGATTACTGATTTTGCATTCATAATGTTTGACTGAATACGAACCTGTCGTAAATGGTTAGCATTCATGCTTCTCACGTTGAAAGATTTGAGCTCAAATGTCACCTCGGGCTAGTCACGAATGACCTAAAATGTGTTAAACAAAACAAATAAACAATAATCGTTAGTTTAACGACAGATGAACTTAAATCAAATTTTAAACAAAAAATTAACAGCAGAATTTCAAGTTAAGTTGCTTTCATTTAAAAAGTGTTGACTGCATAATGGAAGCACAATATGATCAGACTTCTGTCGCGACAATTGAAATCAAAATGAGTTTTCATTATGATAGGAACTGCAAACTTTAATATCGATTTGCTTTCATTTTGTAAACCGACTTTGCTCGGGTAGTGGCAGTGGAGCGACCAGCCATGAAACCGTGCTGGTCGATACTAATATACGGCTCACAGTTAGCGAGTAACGGTTCCATAACAACGAGTTCGAACATTTTAGCAAGAGCGCTAAGCGAAGTGATGCCACGGTAGTTGAATATTATGCCGATATATCACAAATAACTATAATAAAAAGCTGATATTTAGAGCTCATCAACCGTACTCGGAAAAAAAACCGTTCCGGTATTAATGAACAACAAATCACGAAAGCATGAACTGCTAGTTCGTTTGAATTCATGACTTGGTTCCCGTAAACGTGATCGAGTAAATAACATTTTCATGAAATAAATCCCAAATTCATGAACTTAAGTCACGCCTGTTCAGCGCGACCATCGATTTCTTAACGCTACAGAAAACACAAAATAAAATCATGATTTCGTGATCCATGAACCCATAAGTGTGATTTTCGGTCCTGAAATCGTGAACTTGGATCACATGCAATGCTGCAGCTGTCATTTTCAGTTGTTGTTGATTTTATCCTAATAGAGTGCTCGGATCCGTCGAGAATAGTGTCTCTATTATTAGTGAGTGAGCTGAGCCGTATCATCAAAAATCCATTTAAAATATTGGTAATTATAATGAAGTTGACATTTTACAGTCCATGAACCATGTTCGCGTTTTCGAGTACAAGGTTCACGGTATCAATCACAACGCATGAACATAAATCACGTTTGCCAGAACTAGATCATGATTTTACGAACAGAGTTCACGATTCTATGACTTTTGTTGCCTTTGTAGGCGTTACGTTTATTTTGTGGAACAATGTTCACGATTTCATGATTTTTATTCATGGTGTACTTTCGTAAACGAAAAATTTACTTGTTCCGAAAATCGTGACTGGAGGTTGACGAATTTTGGAACGGATTTTTTCCCGTGTAAGGACCGCCCTAATGTCTTGAACATCAAAAGATTTACCTAAAACGAATGGTTTATTATTGAAATAAGTTGTTAGTTCTTCCAGCACCCACACCTGGACCCTACCTATCAACCCATCAACTCATGAACCGGGGACCAACGGCTTTACTTCCCTTCTGTGGCGTGATCAGAGATGTTATGCCTCTGAACATCCCGGCGGCGCCGACCTGCCGCAGGCTTGCTGGGGTGAGAGGTAATCACGCGTACCACCAGCGCCACTGTGCTACAATTTATTGCGAAATGTCAAATACCCGACTTTGAAAAAAAGAGAGATCCCAATTGTTAGTATAAATGGGAATGAATGCCCATAAAAAAACAATTATAGAAAGTTTCATGCAAATGATGATGATGATGATGATGATGGTCCCACCTCTTACCCCTACAAAGGTTTGAGCTGGACGATTTATCTTTAAATATGACATTTTAACCAGGTTAGCAAACAAAAACGAACTGGTTACAGTTACAGATATAAATTCCCTCTAGAGTCTACAGTTGCTTCATAGCAATATAAATGAGAAAAAACTTAGGCGTCCATCTCTTAGTTCACCTTTTTGTCCACCTAAAATATTCATAAGTATTACAAGCGATCAAAAGTTAATGACCAATCAACAAAGCATCCTATAAATTAGCAACTCCGGAATCTGATGGTATCATAATTTTCAGCAATGTCAGGAATGCTCACGAACCCCCGACTTTCAGCAAGAAAACTTATTACTAACTCAAGGTATCTTCCAAATAAGCATCAAAAATGCATTTTTTTTTATCAAATGTTAAATTCAGTCCTCTATATCCATAAAAAGCACGCGAGGCTCAAACAATTGTAAACCACTCAAAAAAAATATTTTTAAACTACTCCTATTAAATAAAATATTAAAAATCCATCATCAAAATAGTGTTTGCAGTGCAACAATAATTATTAAAAAAAATCGTTATGACAGCTATCCATACAAAATAATCCGTTAGGGATAACTTCATCAAAATACATAATTTGTCAATTCATAAAAAAAATCACTGGATAACTGTTCAAAAGATCAGAGATGAACCAGCCGACGGCTAAATGTCTCTTTAATAAAGAAAGATAAGATAAGATATTCAAAAGACAGTTTAAACGTGTGACATGCAATGTCTCTTAAATTCTGCTAATGTTGTTGCACTTTTAATAATTCTTTAATAATAATAATTTAATAATTTAATAATAAGTTTAATAAGGCATCGAATTGAAAAGATTTATTCCATTAAAATACAATTAATTCTGCGAAGCTCAAGTCAACAAATGAGGTGTTTTTATTTCATCCGCGTGTCTGGTATTATATCTTTTAAAATCACTTCCTCATTCAATTCGATCACACACATATCGAGGCAGCAAACTACCTTAAAAATGAACAACATAGTCAAATATACAATTCTTTGCTTCACCGACAACCATTGTAAGGCGTCCAGCATCAAAGTTGAGGAAGTGAATCTATTACATCTCAAAATCAAACCCATTATTTTATTCTGCAAGCACTGTTATCTCGATATTTGTGTTTCATTGTCAAAGAAATGAAATGGAAGGGCAAGAATCTAGATGAGGGGAGATGATTAATTTGTAAATCTGTATTTTACTGGCAATACACAGCAAAACATTAATATTGATAGCACATAGAAGTGGATGCACTTCAATCGTGTCAAAAATATGGTGTTTGCCTAAAAGGAAAAAAATATCATTAATACAGTGCATGAACTGACATTACGCTGCTTTTACTGGATTTGTTTATTTTTGTGGCCATAAAAATTACATGAGATTTTCAACATGATAGAAGTGCATCCTCTTGGATATAATATTAAAATTTATTTTTGCTGTGCATCTTGAAAATAGGGTTTTACTGACTCCGAACAGCGCAGTAGTGATGAAATTCAAAACAAACGTTTATTCGATGTTTCCTCCGTAGTAATTGTAATTGTAATGTAATTTATCAGCCCTCACCCTGGTGGCCACTGCCAACCCATCGTGTTAGGTGAGGACCTACCAAGCTAAAGGTTCAAGCGCAATGACAGTGGAAGCGGAACGGCAGCGGCAGCAGAAAAGCCCGATCTGAGTAAGCCTACTTGTCGGATTGAAAACTAGTTAGAACCAAATCGACTTCGGTTAGGCTTTTTGATGTCATTCGTGACAACTCTCAAACTTTCCGTTTCCGTTCCACTTCCGCCCACATTGCGCTTGGGCCTTAAGCGTTAAAACATGCCAGACCGTATAGCATGCCGCAATCGTGACTATCCGGCGCAAAATGTCCAAACTAGTACACCAATACATTAAATAGGGATAGAAAGAGATGGAGAGGGAAAGAGTAAGATATATCAATTTGGTGAAAGAAAAGAACATAAAGAACGAAAATATTAGTTGCCTCATAGGTCCATCGCTATGGCTGATCCGTACGGTATACCTAAAATTATACAAAAACAAATGACAAGATCCAAGATCCCTTTTAGGATTATATATATATATAAAAAATCCAATTTTGGTCGATTTCCATCGAAACTAAATAAAATTACTTTATGACTTACAGTGCAATGAATGAGCGTTTGTTTCGGGATCATTTTAGTGTTAGAATTATGTTAGTTTTGATCCGTAATCAGCCCTGCCGGCCCCTCTTAAAATAACAAAAGCAAGCCTTAAATTACAGTTATATGCAAATGCAAAATAAAACTTGACAAATCGTCGTCAATCCCCTTATTCTTGGGCAGGGACTGACGATGTGAATTTGATTTTGATCAGTGAACGGGCACCATATTGTACATTCTCTCAGTATGAACCTGTCATTTCTAGCCTACCTGAACTATTTAATAAATGGAAACCATAACATGGTTTATGCTCCCCCTAAGCGGGCCCTCCGCATCCTATCTGTGTCTTATCTCAAATACCAAATGCCAATGGTTTGAATGTATCAATATATAAATTGGAAATGATGTTCAATCAAATAAACCCATACCCCATTCACTTGGCCAGGCTTCAGAATCGTCCAGTGGGCAGTGCGCTCTACACTCCAAGTTCCCTTTCTTTCAAATTTACCCAAAATTTGATATTTTACCCCTTTGAGTGTTGATTAATCACAATGAAACATTGTGACAGAGCACGGACTTGAGGTAACTAGAGTATTAAATAATCTAGGTCCTATTTAGGATTATATATGAAAAATCCAAATCTGGCCAATGCTCACCAATTCTATGTTTCCTCCGTAGTTGCATTAAATGTAATCTGCATGGAATATGAAATTATGATTTCCACACACAGATAGATCGTGGAATACGCTCACTTCTATAAAATAGAATTAAAACGCGGTCCAATAATCGTCGAAGTCAGATCAAAGTTGAATGAGAGAATAACAGTTGGTAGTGGTTTCCCCAACACGGTCGCTGATTTCAAGTACACTGATGTCTTTTTTTACACGGTTTTTTTTACGCGGTTTTTTTTACACGGTTATTTTTACACGGTTTTTCGCGATTTACACGGTACGTTTTTAACGATTTCTCGACAACGATACAACCTATCGACTTGATTCCAATCACATTATCCGCTTCAAGCTATAGGTAATCGAATGGCATACTTAGAAAAAATCACAATTTTTGGTGAAAATACAGAAATTTTTAAAATATGTCTATTTGGACCATAGCATGCTATTATTACAAATGGCATCAAAATCAGATTTTTTTTAAACATTTAAGCATGTGAAAAATCAAAATCTCGTAGGTTTTTTCTACGCAGTTTTTTTTTACACGATACGTATCCCCCGTGTAAAAAAAGACCTGAGTGTATCTAAATTGACGGATACAAGCATGTCACTTTAGTTTTAGGAGTATGTTGGTCGTGTAAACTAGCTTCCCTAGCACAGACATCAAAGCTCAAGTTATAAATCAAGATTTTCGAATCACGATTTTCACTTTCCATTAAAAAATAACCAATTAAAAATTATTACGTTACTCGCTATATTTTTAGTACGTTGAACAGATGCACAATTTTCCAACTTTCTGGACGTGATTGAATTGTATCGTTTTCGATGCGTAATATTAATGTCAAGAGAATCCCGATTCAAATATGATCACCACTGGTTTTTGGTTTTTAACACAACCTCCCCCCCCCCCCCTTCCTTTGGCCCTAACGTACACTACATTTTTTCCACCAATCCCTTGGTTTTTTTTTCGTTTAAGCCAGTAAATCTAAAAATTAATCATTTTGAATGTAACATAGTGCTATATTTTTTTTTGTACCAAAGTAGACTAAAGTAGTACTTTGAAAATTATTATTTTTAATTTTTACTGGCCTGAGCGAAAAAAAAACTTGTGAGGGATTATTTTCAACGCAGTTCTCCAAAAAAAAAAATCGTTCCAATATTCGTGAATAAGAGCCGTGTACTTTTCCTTCTACGCGTGGACCGTTTCACGGCTGCCGTTCACGAATATGGGAACGGATTTTTTTTTTTTTTTTTGGGAACTCCGTTGAAAATAATCCCTCACAATTTTTTCGCTCAGGCCAGTAAAAATTAAAAAAATAATAATTTTCAAAGTAGGTACTACTTTAGTCTACTTTGGTACAAAAGGCATACTGAATGTCTCAAATTTGTTAGCTCCCCCTACCTTCACTAAAGTCCTACCTAAAGTTCGATTTGAACAACATTTGACAGACATCCTTACATTCCCTGTAGGGATTTAACCTTCACTCCCTAGAGCGTGACGTACTTAATCTCGCTACTTGGCTTTGACGCTCGTATTAATACGAGCTGTCACCCACTATCAACTCAGTGTTCTTTGAAGCACTTCCACAGTTATTAATTGAGAGCTTTCTATTCCAACCAATGCATGAATTTGTATATTGTGTGGCAAGCACAATGCAGCTCTATGTCCAGGGAAGTTGAGCCTTTACTGATTAGGCTATTTGAGGCACACCATATGCACTTACTGCATGCACTTAGGCATGGCGTACTAAATGCATGGCCTCAATATGGTCATTTCGGAAAAGGTTTCGAGTGATGCATATTGATTAGCCTCGAGAATGAGTGGAAATTTAAATGAACATTGATATACATATTTGATGAAATAGTTTTTAATTTTATTCCCTGCACAATGTCTATTTACTTAGTTTTATGTGCATTTTTTTATTTTAAATTCTTAACTAACTATGGAAGCTCTTATTTCAAATTTAATTATAAACCTTTACATTATTGTATCATTCCATCTACAGGTCTGAGCCAACGTGTGTCACCTGCGATCTGAGTGAAGTATTGTGGAGTAGCCGATATTATTATAGTAATTGTACACACTTCAACGCTTATGTGAGCCCTCCATCTTATGCAGCTACGAATTCAGGAATTACTCATTACATTTTAGAATGTAAAGGACCAGGATTACCATTAGCAGGTATGATCTATGATACACTCTATTATGGCGGCTCACCTCAGTTTGTCAATCTTGAAAAAAAAAACAGACTTCAAACTTTGGTTACCGTTATGAAAGGGTCTTCACCTACTGTGTCACCTGACCCATAACGAATAAACGTTATATCCGAGGGATCGTATGCCGTAATGCACCGAATACCGGACGGTTCGTCAATCCAGACTTGGTGCTTCATTTTGAAAAAAAAAAGTGATGAATTTATGATAGGCTACCCTCCCGTTCACCCTTAAATATTGAAATGGGAATTACTATGGAAGAATTTCAAAAATCACCTATATCGTTCTAACTTTACTTCTACTTGTTTAAATGTTGGAAAAATTCAATATTTTGTTGCTATGGCAATAACCAAAAATTATTATGTTGTTACGATCAGTTTTACAGCATCAAGAAAGATAGAAATGCAAATAAATGATTAAGTAGGTAAATTGGCAGATGAATATGTGCAAGACAAAAACGCCAATTTCATCATAACCACAACTGGCTTGTTGGTCATTGTCATGACAACTATAACCGCTGTATTTATAGTCTGGCGGATAGAATCTCGGGAACCAATTGACTTGTCAAATAGTGGAACGATTCAAGTTACGGCCAACATCAGGTAGGGTCCAACAAAGATGAAAAGCAATAATTTTCCATACTAATTAATTCAAATCTTAAATTTTTTTGGGGTTATGAATCGAACTAGAGGGTGACCTATTAGAAATTCATCACTTTTTTCAAAATAATCCGGACATTTTTTTAAATAATAAATATGTACGAAATATGTTTTAGCACAGCAAGCAATGATAGCCAACTTTTAAAGGTGTCCGGATTTATGGACTAAGTGTCCGGTTTTCGAGCTTTTACGGTACCTTGTAGCATATAGCACAATGAACGTAGTTTAGGCGAGGTATATGATCTCACGGATACAACGTTTAATTACAAGCATGTCACATTAGACTGATGCAAAATTGGAAATTTTCGTGCCACAGTGCTCAAAAGGTTTTAATTTGGGCCCTGATTAGCCTCCCAAAATTTGAACTCATTTAGTGATAAACTGACTTGGCACAAACCATTTGAAGTTTATATGGGAATTACTATGGAGACACCTTAATTTCGATTCACATCTATCTCAAAATTTACCAGTTCACTCTACTTTAGAAAATGATAACTGCGCTTGTTGAAAATTTTCTCAGCTACAACTTTGTTCAAGACCACTTTTCAATCAAATGTAAGGAACAAAAATTATTAATGATTCAAGTCACTGATGTCGTATGATTATGCTCAATCAAATGTTCAGCAGGCAACATTGGTGTTTATGGCGCGTAGAATAGAGGACAAAAATCATGGCTACTATGTCACACTGCAGAATACAGTGTTGCTCACAATACAGTTGCTTAATCTTGCCATAAGATTATCAATCTCTTAAACAATTAATAACTATTTTATTTGACATTTGGTTGAAAAACAATTTTCTGCAAAGTTGTAGCTGATAAAAGTTCCCATAAGAATAGCAATAGAATTTGTTAACAGTACAATATGTAAAAAGGCTAAAAGACAATGAACAAGAAGTTTTGTTTTAACATAGTAATTTCTATATAAACTTCAAATGGTTTGTGCCATGTCAGTTTCTAATCAAATGAGTTTAAACTTTCGGAGGCTAATCAGTACCCGATTTGAAACCGTTTGAACACTGTGGAGCGAAAATTTCAAATTTTGCATCAGTCTAATGTCACATATACTACAGTTATTAGTCAGGTAATACAGTTGTACATATTTATATTATTTTTGAATTACGTTTTGAACTGCTTATTTCTTAGTGGTTACTTTTATTTTATCTAAAATTATGTGTTCTCGTAAAGCTCATGTATAGGAAGGCGAAATGATGCAAATAGGAAGTAGCAATCGGTACGTCACTCAAGAAGACCACAGCTTTTAATCTCGAGAATATAATTATGGATGGCGAAAAAGATGGCTAGATCGCACTCTCATGCTCATTGGAATACTCAAGGTTTCCATGGTGATATCACCACTTCATCGTTTATCACTGTGCTCGCTATCGATGTAGCTTCCGTAAACTTCTTAACTTCTAGGAATAATATTTTTTTGTCGATTTATTCTTTATCAACATAACGATAACAAAGATATGTATCGCACCTATCAGTTCATTGTGTGTCAGAAGAACAACGATCATATTGCGAAATTTACTGGTTTAGTAATCTAAGCACCTTCCTACGCAACCATCTATTCTTGTGGCCAGTGCTGATAAAAATCATTGCTTCTAAACTGATATAAAAAGTACCTAATATTGAGTTCCATACACCAGCATTCACCCAGGTCAACAGTTCCGTACGCAAACTTAATTTTACGTTAACACACTTGATGTTGTTTTCATTTAATCAGCATCAGCATTTAGTCGCATGTAAGCAGTCTATGTACTTACTTGTAAGTTATTTTCATTCAACTGAAGTTAAAACTACTCAATATTAAGTTGTACACCACTTACTCAACGTTAACTTTGAACAGAAGGCTTCCCTTATGTAGAATTGCTTTAATCGTTTTTGATAACAAACGTGAAAGCGAATGAGAGACACCAACTCAATATCATCAATACAGTTGAAAACCAAAATAACCCACTAGCGGCAATCGATTTTACTCTCGTTCTGTACGTTGAACATAATTTTGGAACTAGTGCGCTGTATAGCGCATCATTTTGCGACTACAGGGCACTACTTCCGACTCTAAGTTTAAAGTACAGAATGAGAGTAAAATCGATTGCTGCTAGTGGGTTATTTAGGTTTTTAACCAAGGGGTACTCAACTCTACACATCTCAATCAGTGCCGAGTCGAGGGGCACGCACTAGCCTTTCAATACTACACAGCCTGCTGACCAAATATTTTATATCTTGCCATGACTGCATTAAATACTTTAAATACACTCTTAATTTCAATGAATACTTTAATTACTCACAAAATTTTATATTTAAATTATTTTCAATATAGTTAAATTATTTGTCATTGCATAAATTATCGTTAATTATTTGTTGATTACTTTAAATACCACTTAAAGTATTTAAGTTCAAATTATTGCTGTCTTCAAAGTATTTAAATTACTACGATGTATTTTAAATATCACGCACTTATTTCTGGAAGGACGCGCCCCTCGTGCCGAGTACTTTATCTGTGCCAAAAGCTGTGCCAAGCGTTGTGCCGAACGTGCCGAAGAGCCGCAATCAATTTTTCAGTCTCAGTATACCATGAGTTTGGCAACCCTGCAGTTATGACTTTTGAGATTGTTTGTTTACAACTTCAAGCTCTCATGGATGGTTCATTGAAAAATGGAAAACGGATATGTGAACATTAATTTCAATATTAAGGATATACGAGTGTTGAAAGTAAAACGAGCATAACATAATACGCGTGTGGTGAGATCATTCATTCCGCTTGGGTCAATGATGATAGAACAGAGTTCAACATCGATTTTAATCTTTAAATTCATCTCGGAAAAGGCAGAATTAGAAAAAAAAAAATATCATTAGGCTTATACCTAGATTTTTGCACTATCAGTATGGCCTACAGAACTGATCTTAACCAGGTTAGCCAAGGCGAACCCAAACCAAAATATAGAAGCCAAGTGATCAAGGCAGGGAGGACAACCATTTTACTATAAATATGCTAAAAAATGTACATGTTAGAAATATAACAAGATTCTAACCTCCCTTAAACCCAGCAACACAAAGGCTTTCGGTGAAATTGCGTGCGGTAAAATGGCATTTGGCTAAATTTTCCGTAGATTTTTTTTTCGCCCCTCCCTAGCTCGAAACCCGGCTACGTCCTTGGATACCTACCATCGTTAAAGCCGTTGCTACAAAAATTGCACCAGTATTGACAGACATTTTCATTTGGAGTAAACAAACCTTAGCAACGGGTAAATCGATTAAAAAAACTTCAGCGCTCAACAGTGTTGCTGTTTTATATAATATTTGTCGTGTCATACGTAGCGTGTGCCTTAACGTGCCGAACAGAATGTCATACTGTGTTTCGGCACAGTGTGCAGTGGTGATTCCCCCTTGTTTTTAACAGTAATTGGATTAAACAAGCAATAAGTCTAAATTAATATAATAATAACTTTTTTCTCAGTAGTGTAATTGTTTTGCAGTCTTCGGAAAAGTTGTTTTTTATAGTATCCTCAATTTTAGTCCGAGATTTGGTGAAATTTGAGCAATATTTTAATTTCTGGTAAGCAAGTGAATAGGATCGTTCCGTTTCCCTTACAACATTTAAAATTCTCCTGCAAATTTTCAAATTTAGCACAGTTGTTGGGAACCTCAATTTGCATTGAAAGAGCAGTGAGGAACAGGGGGTTGTAACGTTGACCCACCCTTACGCCCAATATACAAAGAGGGTGTGAAAACTACCGAGCATCACTATTCCCAACGCAGCCTGCAAAGTGCTTTCAGATCATCTTTTGCCGCCTATCGCTGCTACTGTGATTTGTTTTGCTTTTTTGTTCTGTTTGGGACATAAATACACTGACCAGATTTGATCAATTGTAGTAGGGGAAATGGCTCTAATGTATGGATCTAAGTTTGGGTCCATTGCTAAAAATCTGCTATTTATCAATTTTATCTAGATGAACGACGCGTTCATCTAGATAAAATTGATAAATAGCAGATTTTTAGCGCAATGACGCATTGGGACGGTACTAATGGATATTTTTGGTAGCTATTGAAAATTTAGTCGACCGCTGATTTTTTTAACGGGCCCATATTATGGGCATTTAGGCCAACATTACATCCGTTTCCCCTATATCCCGTGTCCTTAGTTTAGTGCCATCACTATTGAGAAATGATGAAGTATTCGGTTTTGCTACATTTGTCATACTTACCATTCGGAACCGATTCTAATTGAATGGTCCTGCTATTTATACCATAAAACATTGTAACCATTGTATGTAGTCTACTCTTGCTTGACGAAATAAATAAATACCTTTCGAAGAGTTAGCGTACCCTCCAAAGCCACGCCCCTTTGTCAGTCAAAATTGGATTCCTTAGCAACAAAATCAAGCAATGACACCTATATTAACCATGCATCAGCAAGGGAACAACGAATAGAAAATTAAGAATCACTTTGATGAAGACCAATCCATGTTTTCCTTGTTTCAATGCTTGTTGCGCTATAATCGTGAGATTAAACCAAATTAACTGTTTTCTGAACAATTCACAAAATAGATTTACGTCACATTGTCATCTTACGACAGTAAGGTTCGGTGTGGTTTGTTGGTAGATCTTACACCATAACGCACCACGAAGAGGTGATTGTAGGAATTAAGCATTAGTTTTACTAATTATAAAATTTAAGATTAAATAGTTTGATTAAAATTGACGCACCCCTTGACTAAAAAAGATAGATCGTATCTGCTAGAGAGGATGAGTATTTGGAAATGACTTTACTCTTCGAATTGATATGTTCGAGTTTTCTATTACGTATGCGTAAGGTAATTGTATATTCGTAATCTGCATGTCAAATGGAACCGAAATCCAAAATTTCTTTAATTTTGGAGCACTGGCAACTATTTTAAATAAGTGTGATTACATTTGAAAAAAATCACTATCTTTGCTGTCAATTTGTTAGTTTAGTATCAAACAGTAAATGGGATTGAAAAAATATATTGTTGTACTCAGAAAACGAAGCTCTTTCAGATAGAATCAGGTACAACGATTCTCATTATGCAACCTATATACACTGCAACTTGGTTGTCAACTTGATTCTACGACTGGTTGTCGGATCTCCTTTCAATCAGTTCGTCAACTGAGAAACAATTTCACAACTGCGCCATACACAATCCAATCTGCTATTCGACTTGTACGTCAACCTGTTGGCCAACCTATTTAAAATACACGCGGTGTTTATGCAACTTCCCTATAAACACTACTGCAACCAGACTTAACTCCGCCCACCATAAATCATACCGCTTTGATTTTCCTTCAACAAATTGACCTGACTGATAAAGAATATACGTTGTATCAGCGGGATCGCATACCTCGTCATACCTCATAGCATTATTCATCAATTATATACCGTATGATACCATTGATAGTAAATAGCTATGGAAGAAAATGGACGACAACGGTTTTCTCGAGAAATTTACTAGACTGATCAAGGCTACGATGGATGGTGTACGGTGCTGTGTGAAGATATTGAGTGCGTAATCGGACACGTTTGAAAAACGCAAAGGTCTTCAACAAGGCGATAGTTTGTGCATCCTGTTGAAACGTGCGGGTAGTATCTTCAATAAATCCAGCCAGTTAATTTGCTTCGCGGATGACATGGAAATTGTCGCAAGAACGTTCCAAGCTGTGGTAGAACAGTACATCAGATTACATATCTGTTGGCTCGAGGAACCGACCGCGATAGAGCTCACATAAGTGTAATAATAGAGGGGGGGGAGGTAGTCGATGAATTTGTGTACGTTGGATCATAAGTGACATTTGATAACTCGTAACTATTGCCGGAAGTCAGTTTAATCTTGTCCCTACTAAGTGTACCATGAACAAGACGCTGAAAAGACCGATAATTCGTCATGGGCACGGGACGTGGACAATGCTCGATGATGATGACGCATCCTAAGAACTACTTTGGTGGTTTATATGAAAACGGCGTATGGAAGAGATCAATGAACCACGAACTGGCGCAACTTAAAGGGTGGGCCCAGTATCCAGAAAGTCGCTATTGCTGAAAGGGTACAATGGGTGGAAAACGTTGTACGAATGTTAGACAACAATCCCGCGTAAAATGCAGTTTACCTCGATTTCGCCCGGTACACGACGTAGAGAAAAGTAGTGCGCTAGGTGGTTAAAAAATTTCGCATGGATGTATAGATTTTAACTTTTTTTTAACCCGTGGTGAAACCAAATTTAATTAAAATGCTTAGATATGTATAATATAATACGAAATTTTTTAAAAAATCTTCCATACCTCACCGTGAAGGAATTTTGGAACCATCATTATGTTGAAATTATGTTCGCCACGAGGGTCAACTTTTGATCACGAATTCTACATCACTCGTGAAAAAAGTGTCGCATTATCGGATTTTCTTCCTTATACATTGTTATAGTTATAGGCATATCACTAACATTTCTTGCGGTTTTACTTTATTTTTAAGTTTTACTTCTATTTATTTTAAGTTTTTCATTAAGGAACTTCATGTTCTAAATCAAAACCAATAATGACACTTGTTCCTGTTTAATTTTGTAAGACTTTTTAATAGACCTATAATTGTAGCCATCTTTTAAGATTTTACGAATAATTTATCAAATCTTCTAAAAGGTGTTACGGAAGAAGGAGTAAACATAATTAAAATAATGTTTACTCCTTCTTCCATATACCGTTCCAAATGGAACCAATGTTCTCTCGCCATAGGTTTCCGGAAATTGATATTGTCAGGAATAGATATAAAAATGTGCAACACTGTAAGTGCTTTAGTTTTTGACTAACGCTGATGTACAAACAATTATTACTAACACTTCGTTTAACACCAGTTCAGCAATGTCAAACTACTATTTGTGTCGACGTATGGCATTAAATGTAGTAATTATTAAACTCGGTTAAGTACCACTTCTATGTGATGAAAGTTAATGTTGCTTTTAAACTAATTATAACCGATTACTTTTGAACTACCTATAGCGATGAACAATTAAATTATACGTTTTTTAATTTTTTCCATACAGTGGTTCATACTGCGCTAAATCACCGGCTTGTACGCGTTTTGTATGACACTAGGCCTGCATTTACAAGGAAATTACAAGAACTTGCGCTTCCAACCCAACGATCCTTCGAGATTCCATTGCCGCATGGGACACGTGCAGCTGTACAACTATTGCTTCCACCCAGCTGGAGAGAAGAACTTCGAGATGCGGCATTTCCTGTGCTAGTTGAAGTGTGAGTAAAACTGTGTTGCACTGATACTAACAGAATGTATATCTATGCTGAATCCTTTTTAGTAACGGCAGACCTGGATCTATGGCAGTTTCAGACGAGTTCAAAATCGATTGGGGTACCTATATGGCAAGCCATAATGATGTTGTCTATATAAGACTCGATGTACGTGGAGCAAGAGGGCAAGGCAAAAAAGCTTTGTACCGACACATTGGTGGAGTTGAAGTTCAAGATCAAATAGCAGCACTAAGGTACATTTAAAAATTAGTCAGTTAACGTCAGCGTTAACGTCTTTACCTCTATCGCCAAAACCGAACCCCTACTTTTCATATTTCTTTCTGGAGGATCTTAACGTCAACCATTCAAATTCTGAAAATGTAGATCTTCCAGAGAAAAACATAGAAAATAGATTTATGACATGACATATTAGAACTTATTGGCATTACACACGAACGAGATTTTGTCATCAATTAACAAAATGTAAATTTTACAGGTACCTACTCGAGACTCTAAATTTTTTAGATGAGAACAGAGTTGGCGTATGGGGATGGGGCTACGGCGGGTACGTAACAGCCATGATCTTAGGGTCGCAGCAAAATGTCTTCAAGTGTGGTATATCGGTATCACCAATAACAGACTGGTTATATTACAGTAAGTAAACAATATTTGTTATAATGTAGAGGAAGAAGAAATATAGTAAAATAAGACCAAAAAGATTCAATATCGATAAAAGGTAAAAAGTTGAGTTTATGCTGTTATTTACATATAAAAATCAACCTTTATAAAAAAAGTATTGCAAAACTTGTACCACTATAACTATAGGACCTCAAGCTAACTAGGACAGCCAACCGGTGAACACTCGTGTTTATTTCAGTTACCTTGGGGACGTAATTTGTGATTAGCCCCGGTCCCTTTCAAATTGTTTCATTATTTATGTACGGTCCTTATATTTGAAAAGACGTTTCACATTCATCTAGTGATGGCCGATTTTCATTCGAATAATCGATTAATCGATTAACGAACCGAACAGTAAAATATTTTTAATCGGTTATATCATGCCGATATAAGCATTAACTTCTTCACAGGATCATTACCGATCGTTTCAAACAAGTTTTGCACTCTCATTGGTGGAAAAATGACAGGACAGCGAACAAAAAATATTCGATTAGTTGTTAATCGAGTAATTAAAAAATGGGACATCTCTGATTTTGGTGTGATTGTTTTGTTAAAAAAGCGCGCAAAATTTCATCTCTGCCGAGGGGGCAGCTAAACCACTAAATCACCTTGCATACTGGGGGTATTCATTGGATGAAAGGGACCGTGAAAGAGGACACTAAAATTGAAAGTTTTTCTTCCGACAGTTTCATCTTAGTATTCATCTTTGGGACAGCTATGCATGCACCCGCATAAAAAAATAACCAAAAGAGGTACCTATCCACCATTTCATAACAGTATATGATATGGTTGTACCATATATTGTGTTGTTTACATATGGTAGCTATTTATTAGGGCAGTTATGGTCTCTGTTCCAAGGATGGTTAAAAATATCCTGTGTTTACTATTCTCAGCTCAATCGGTTCCAGATCATTCTCCCTGATCTCATACTGCACTGGTTCATTGAAGTTTAAAGTCTGGTTAAAAGTAAATTTGGATGCATTTAATGTACAACCGCTCCCTATTAGTCAGAGCCAGAAAATTTTGACAGCATTTTTATTATACTTTAGCTGATGAAAATCTGTTGTACTTTAGCTGTAATCTACGATTCAAGAGTTTACTTTACCCTGGGAACGTAGCAACCATTGTTTAGATGCGTTAAACATGCAAATAAAATTATCATTAGTTCTTCAGTTCTCAACCGGAACAATGTTTATTCTTAAACTCTCAATACGGGACATAAATCCACTGCGACCAGTTATTTGATATATTGTGGTAGCGTTTTGAATCTAATGTCCGTCCTACTAAGCATAACCCATACATAACCTTTTTTTTTGAACGGATATGAACTCAAAAATGGAGTGGTTCTACTATATATGACTTCCAAATCTCGACTACTTTTTCGAAGGGACGTATCAGCTTTTGTAAACATTGCATTTGATCGCCGATTTGGCGTAACTGGTAGCTCCCTCACGCATACTAACACCACTATCAGGTAGGGGGAAATTTCCCCTATCTGATGGTACTATTAAAATCTTTGGAGAGAAAGTCGACGAACAGTATCGATCATCGCGTTTACGCCCTTATGCATGCTCACTGTCGAGTTATTTACGAAAGAGAGAGTCGATGAAGAGAATTGAGAGAATGTAGATTTGTCTATTTGAAATCGTAGTTAGATAGCCTGAATGACACGACGAGAGCGGGATGGTCAGTATGTAGACTGATTAGTGGCCGGTAATGCGAAATCATTTGGTAGGCCATTCGAGGGGATCCCGATCCCGGGAGCTGGAAACCGAAGGAAATTTAGGACCGAAAGTCCAGAATCGCAATCATACTCGCCTGGAGTTGTAGGCCGGAAGTCCCCGATTTTTGTTGCTGTTTTGCTTGAAAACAGCTTTTCGGCTTCGCACTTCCATAATATAACATATTATGTTGATGTGATGCGAAAAGTGAGAAAGCAAATGAAAGTGATCTTGCTCACTGAGCAATGTGAGTTACTCGAGGTGCCTCAAAAGCAACTCTGAAGTTGCTCATGAATAGGAGCTGCCTTGCCTCTTGCTAATCACCCATATTCTTGTTTTCGTTCAAACCGTATTTTCCATACAAAAAATAAAGTTTTTTTGTATGGAAAATACGGTTCAAACGAAAACAAGAATATGGGTGAATATGTGTTCCTTTGAGATCTTAATGCCAGTTACTCACCACGAAAAAGTTATGTGCCTAGATCTTCTCGTAGCCTAAATAATTTTTCAAGTCGAAGCTAAATTCAATAACTACTGTTCGGAAACCGCCCATGCATTAATTATGTCACGCTAAATCGAGCAAAAAATTACCCCCTCCGTCAAACACCATGCACTCATTTTCTACGGGCATTCGTCAAAAACATTAAGAAGAGTGAGAAGCTGGATTGTGAAGACCCGTCCCGGATAAAAAAGAGCATAATGAGGGACGGAGTCATTCATCAGCAGAACGGAATAGCGGAGCGTAGTAACAGTGCGCTCGTCAAAATAGTGTTGGACAACCGAAGAAGATCTGGGCGAAAGCCGTGTCTACCGCTGCATATGTCGTGAACAGATGCCGTAATCGTGCACTGGAATCTAAAATGCCAGAAGAATCATGGAGGGTGAAAAAACCATACCTTAAGCATCTGCGAGTGCTTGGATCCCAAGTTATGGTATATTGTCCAAAGCAAAAGCGACAGAAAATCGATCCGATTTCCGTAGAAAGGATTTTCGTTGATTATGCCGAAAATTCAGAGTGTACATCCTGATTGAAAACGAGGTCATCATCAGTAGGGACGTGGTGTATCAATCTGCAGAGTTCATAGAGTTGCATTCTCGGTTAGAAACTGGTGACCATCAACTTCTAGAATCCGATACAGAGGTGGATCCCGGTTCCTCAACCAACGTGACAACGGCTGATGTCGCGCTCCCAACCGAGGGGGACGACTCTATCTACGATGCAGGAAATATTGTGTTTTGCTGTGGCTAGCTGCGCGTACGCTGAGTAGATAAAAAGAAGATTTATCACGATTTTGATGATTTCTTGCAAAAAGATGATGCGCAATGCAAGTAGATGCGAGAAATGAAAGAAGATTTTTCGAAGATTTATTCGCTAGTGTGAGATTTTTTGGGCATCTAGAATTGAGATTTAGATGTGTCGCCCCCCCCCCCTCACTCCTATCGCAACAAAATAGATCAGTTGATGAGCAGCAGGGATTTAGGCGCAGTGGTCGGGAGCACCAACTTCAAGGCAAATATACAGATTTGTCCTGATGACTTCACAGAACCATGTCAAAGATTTCCGGCGAAAGGCATTCTGAGACGGCAGATGATCTCAAGCGACTAAATATAGAGCAATGGATGAAGGCCAAGTAACAGGAGATTCAAGCGCTGGAGGAGAACAAAACCAGAAAAGCGAGTCGCAATAAGTGGGTGCACAAGACCAAACGAGGACTAAACGGCCAGGTGGAACGATTCAAGGCAGGTCTGGTACTGGTTGCTACCAGCTCTACGGAGTAGATTAAGATGAGGTATATGCTCCCGTTGTGCGCTACTTGACGATCCGATATCTGAGGTCACTGGTCGTCAAACATAATTTGGACGTGGATCAAAAAGCCGCAGTAACCGCTTTCATGCAAGGTAAGTTGACTGGGCTTCATCCAGGATCTGTCAAAGGTTTGTCGATTGAAGAAAGTACTTTACGATTTGAAACAGTAAAGCTGGGTTTGGAATCTCCAGTTAGACGAAGCATTGTGTGAATTTGGATTGGAGCGTTCGTTATCGGATCCCTGCCTCTATTTCAAGTTCGATGGATATCAAATGATGTTTGTAACCAGCTATGTGGACGATTTTCTTCTATTCACCAACGATCAGGAGATGAAGAAGAGATTTAAAACTTTCCTCAACAGTCGCTCAGTATTTAGGAATTAGGAGAAACAAAGTTTTGTTTAGGTCTAAGAATCACTCGCAACTGATAGAAAGGCAAGCTCTGGCAGGAAGATATATTCGTTTAAACTTGGTAAACTGCAATCCTGTTTCGACTCCAGCAGACGCTACGGCTAAGCTCGATAGAACGATGTGTCCATCCGATCCGTAAGAATTTCAAGAGATGCAGGCAGTGATGCAAAATATCATGACTCTCACGTGACACTCGCCTACGCATCAACCGACTATCGCTGATAGAACGTTTTGTCACGCAGTGAGAGGTAGAACCATGGCAAACAACAATCACCAGTAAAGGTCGCTGCTTACAAGCAAAACGTTACACTCGCTGCTGATGATGAAAAGCACAACGAAAACAGTGAAGACTTCTGCAGTACGATCATGAGAAAAAGCGAAACGACAGAAGAAAATGAAAACAATGCCTACGCATTCCAAGTTCGTCTCGACAGGCGCGACTGTGTGAGTTACCAACAAAGCAGGCAACATTAAACGGAAGCTGTTGGGCTCACTCACCAACACACTCACATAAGCCAGTAAAGCAGCAACTGCTTCAAAACGAACACATATGAGTGTCGTGATTTTCGGGAATGACCAGATCGGTGATGGATCACAACCAAAGACGACATTCACCAGTAGCTTTTTACTTCTTTCGTCAACTTGATGGATGGTCATGGAGAGAGTTTCGACAAGCACATCAGCTGTTTGACGACCGTGATTGTGATCGGTCGCAACTCTGGATGCAGGTCATCCAATACAAGGAAGCAGTGGGATCCTCTACGTACATCGCATTTTCTATAGACATGGGCCCTTATTATGGGTGTCACTTCACGGTGAAAACGAAGTGAAGTGACCAGTTGTCACTCACGGTGAAGTGATTGCCGTGTAAATCAAATGGGAATCACTTCACCGTGAGTGACAAGTTGTCACTTCACCGTGAAGTGATATCGGTAATAAGGGCCATGGTGAGCAAGTTTAGCAGCAATCCTGGTCGTAGGTAAAATGATCGAGCTCCCCATTCACTGAAGACAGTTTTCAACAAGAAGTAAGCTCCGTATTTGACAACATTTTATAACAGATGGAACAGCGTTGATAAACAATCATATCGTGGATCGGACTAACTTTTATGACTATGCCAATTGAAGAAGGTCGTGATGGACTTCGAGCTTAAGTATTATTCTGATATTGTTATAGTGGATCAGTGGATCAGAGGTGGAAGTATTTAAGACATAGATGAGAGAGCTACTATCTACCCTGAGCCCTTCGACTCCATCAGTAATTATGAACAGTATCCTTGAACATTTTCCTAGTATCGAAACGACTCTAAGAATTGTTTATCGTTTCCTGCAAGTTCAAAATTATAAAAAGACATCTGCGTTCCCAAATGGGCAAAGACAAACGCTCCCTTCCAGAACTTGATTTTTAATGATATTTTGCATCAGTTTTCTGCAGCTAAGACACGTAAGGTTAAATTTTTATTTGATTTTCAACGATGTTAGGGATATTTGACTGGAGTGATGAATAGATAATTTCGTGTCAGCTTATCAATCTTCAAGAAAAAATGCTGATTACAGTTTTATTACGTCAACGTTTCAATCCAGGGGTTGGGATCATCATCAGCGCTCGTTATTAATCACCTTGTGTGGTTTGTGTGATTCCCTACAGATGGATGAAGAGAAGGGTATTTAGAGATGAACTAGCCTAAGGCTAAAAATCTCTTTAATAAAGAATTAAAAAAAAAAAAAAAGAGAAGGGTATCGTGATCCCCACCGCTGGATTGAAACGTCGGCGATGATTAAACTGTAATCAGTGCTATTTCTGAGCGGCACCAGTGGTGTAGTGGTAAGCGTGATTACCTCTCACCCCAGCAGGCCTGGTTTCAATCCCAGTCGGCGCCGCCGGGATGTTCTGAGGCATAACATCTCTGATCACGCCTTCCTTCGGTAGGGAAGTAAGGCCGTTGGTCCCCGGTTCATGCGTTGATGGGTCGATAGGTAGGGCCCGGGTGTGCGAGCTGCCTCCCTAGCGTCGGTAGCATTGGTGCTCAGCACGGAAAACAAGATCGACGGAAAATAAATCAAAGTGCTTTTTCTTGAAGACTGAAAAACCAAAACGAAAAGTAAGCGTTACTTAACTGATAAAAACAAATTGTATTACTGTATGTATTTATTTTACTCAACATATCATAACTTGTATGTGTAATAATAAAAATTCATTGAAGTACAAAGATCAAATATTTGAAATGAAGAACTATATGTGAAATACTAGCAATGAAATATCTTTAACGAAAAAACCGTTTTGAAGAGGGGCGTAATTTTCATGATTTGCCAGGGACGGTGCCAACCACAACTATGTTTCTGCTCACTATAAAGTAGCCGACATAGTATATTTTGGGCAAGTCAAGTATGGAAACCCCTGTTTTGACAGTCTCTTACCGTAACACCTTCTTCCTCAGCTATCTGTCCCAAGATACGTTTTCAGACAAATTTTCTGTGCTCATGCTAAGAATTTGCTTACAACAGTTAATTAAGATGCATTTGTTGATCATGGAATTTTTAATACTTTTTCTAAACATGGAATCAGACCAAAAGAAATTCTCCTGGTGTTTGAGCAACATGCATTTTCTTATTTCAAGTTCCATGGTCTATAATAAACAGACCCACATTTATATAGGGGAATTTTTTTTTAATTTTTTTTTTCATTGGGCCAACCATCAGATTTTTGCCATTAGGTGAGAAAACTACTCTCTGAAAATTTCAGTTCATTCGGATGTAACACGAGCTGAGCTTTTGATATCTCAATAAAACTAACTGGTTTCATGATGAAATCTTCAGCAACTGAACTACAAGTTTCGAAAATCTGAATCAAATCGAGGATAAGGATTTTTTTTATGATCGATAGAGTGTAGGAGTGTCATTTTTTCATGTATTTTATCCAAAATCTAAAACTTCCAGAGAATGGTTTTCTCATCTAAACGCACAAATCTAGAGGTTGGCCCGTGGAAAGTTAGAACTTTTATTTTTGTGGGCCAGTCTAGTCTATAACTTTGAAACATGTTGATCAATGTTGATGAAATATTTACTAGTTACTCGTCAAAATATAATAAACAAACTGACTCAGAACATTGGATCCTGCGTTCATATTTACTTTCAAACAGACTTTATTTGGAAACTTCAATTCAATATTAACTTGAGTTTATGCGCCGATTAAAAAAAGCATGCTATATTTTTCTGCTTCATTTGTATGGAAGCCCCCTCACAAAGGGGGGGGGGGGGGAAGTCTCGAACCAGAGTGTGGAGAGTGTTTCAATACTTCCGAAGGTTATACATAGCGGGACCTTTCAATTAGAGTCAGATCCTAGCGATAAATGCAAGAATGACAACTGTAAAAAAATCGAATACTTCATCATTTCTCAATAGTGATGGAGTAATACGACATGCACTAAACTAAGGACAAGGGATATACTACAATAGATTAAATCGCTGGTCGCAGTAGTGTTAAGCCCCGAAAAAAGTATATATATATATATATATATATATATATATATATATATATATATATATATATATATATATTTTTTTTTTTTCTTTTTTTTTTATTGCTTTTTAGAAGTGATTTTCAGCCGAAATATGATTCATTTTTATTGATAATTATGATTACACCTCCAAAGTAGGAAATGTTAACACGTATTTAAAACAACTTGTATTTATTCTTCATCTATAGATTCTGTGTTTACGGAAAGGATTTTAGGCGCACCGGCCGAAAACTACAAAGCATACGTTGAAGCAGATGCTACACAACGAGGAAAACAGATTCCTTCCAACTCTTATCTTCTGATGCATGGATTAGCAGATGTATCTGCGCCCTTTCAACATGGAATACAACTGGCAAGAGCACTGACTGCATCAGGAACAATTTTCGGATATCAAGTGAGTATAAGTTTATATTAGTTATGTAGGGGAAATGTCTCTAATGTTGGCCTATGGATCTAATATTGGGCCCATCGCTAAAAATCTGCTATTTATCAATTTTATCTAGATGAACGCGTTATTGGGACGTTAATAATGGAAATTTTTGGTTGCTATTGAAAATTTAGTCGATTGCTGAATTTATGTATGGACCCAAATTAAGGACACTTATACCCCGTACAGACTATGGCTTATATCATGTAATATAGAATGTCTTGCAATGAGCACTCATACATCTAGTTTTCACTGGAAATCCTATGTATGAGTGCTCATTTCAAGACAGCCTATATTACATGATATAAACCATAGTCTGTCCGGGGTATTAGGCTGACATTACCTGTATTTCCCCTATGACATATTTCTAAAAATCTTTCGTTCTATATTGAATTATTGACTGATAAGCCGGGATTAAAGATAGTCTAAACCTCTACAGTCGACCTATTCTTCGACATTCAAGTTTTACATAAAATTTACGGAACAAATTATTTTAATTTCAGAGCTACGCCGATGAAGGGCATGAACTGAGTGGAGTTCTCGAGCATGTCTATCGTACAATGGAAGATTATCTGAAAGGGTGCTTATCGCTGGATTCAGATGATGAAAAACCAAAGGAGGTGCACGTACCGAACGAGTAGTCGAACTGCGTTCTTCATCATCATTTAAGCATGTGCTGTGTAATATCAATTTTTGAACTTGATTTTATTTTAGTATGCGATATTTTTGTAAAAATACTACTACATATCACACTGTGGAAACATCGACAAAAATGAAAAGACAGCGCAATTATAAATGCAATCATGTTAAATTTTTAAAATCGTTCTTCCTTTTTTCATCGAAACAAAAATGAAAAAAAAAAACTCAAAACAAATTACAAACATTGCGCATATACGTGACGTGTTTACAATTTCCAATCGTGTAAATAGAATTAAATGTGATGATAAAACAAATTTCGCAACATTAGTGAAGTAGATTTTTGATATGCTCTTGCCTTAAAATTGTAAATAAACTTAAAGATAAAATCAAACTCGTGTACATAAACGCTATGACGGGCTTGTTTATCGTTGTTCAAAATTTTGTTTTGAATGATGTAATTAATAATCAATTGTTGTAAAATAAATTCACCAGTGATGCATATTGTTGTATATAACGGTTTTTAAATAACAGGCTTTAATTAATTCACATCCGAACTCAGAACAGTCTACTTACTCTTAAGCAGTTCCACGCCAAGTGACGAATCGGAAAATCTCGGCCTTCTTCTATTATCATGAAACTTTGCATAATTATTTATTATGGGCAGCGAATCCAAACACATGAAGCAACCAACGATAAAAACAAAACGCTTGCTACTACTACCACGATGAATTCTCTTTGTGATATAGCTTGATAGGAGTTGTAGAAGGATAATGCTATATGCTTGCCTGCTTTGTTGCAATATACACGGTTGAAGACATAGCAAGATCGGAATCGAAAAAAAAGACTTAACAAAAAATTCCCATTAACTGACAAAACCCCACGGCTGCAAAATGCGTATCATTGCATGTTGACATGGCTGGTTCTCGGCAATACGATGATCATTATGATTCAGCAACCATTCAAAAGGTATGGCTATCTACTTTCATATGTATCTGGTAGAAATCCAATAGGACCTGTGGTTGGCCAGCCGGAACGGAAAAAAAACCCGGAAAAGTCCCGATCAAAATGCGTGTCGATTCATGTTGACATGACTAGTTCTCAGCTATTTGATTACCAAATTTTAAGATTGATTCACTATTTGAAAGGTATGACTGTCTACTTCCGAACGGAATAGACAGGGAACCACCGATTGAACCTGTGGTTGGCCAGTCGGAACGGAAAAACCCGTGAGAGGTTGCCCTGTGGAAATATAAATTCAACGGGAAAATGGCCAATTCCTGAAAGTAGAGATCCGCTAATGTTCCTAAATTGCAAGCAATCTCGAGAATTGAGGAAATATGCCATCACCATATCGATTCTGCTAGCAGGTGGCCATAAAACGGTCCTCTGAATAACTGGAATCGTCAGCAAGTTAGTCAATTCCTGAAAGTAGACATACATATTTACATCAATTGCATACAATCATGAGCATAGTAGAAAGATGCCATCACCAAATCGATTTTGCTACCGGGTGGCCAGACAACGTTCCTCTGGATAGCCGGGATCACCGGAAATATGGTCAATTCCGAAAGCAGACCTAGAGATCCGAAATCTTTTCTAAATTGTATAAAATCTTGAGTATAGAGAAAATATGCCAACACCTTAATTCTGCTTACAAGCAACCAAAAAAGGATATATAGATTCACCTGGAAATTAGGGTGACCATAAATATCAGAGATTTTTTTTTCAAACAATCTTTAGCATAGAGGAAGGATTCCATCATCAAACCAATTCTGCTACTGGGTGGGCAAAAAACAGCCATCCAGATATCCAGACTAACCGGAAAAGTGGTCATTTTTGGAAAGTGGTCTCAGGGCTCTGCGTTTTAAAAATAGAGTATATAATTCAGAGCAAAGTGAAATTTGTCAGTACTCGATTGCTAGGAATTCTAGAATTAGTTTTGGAAACTAGCACTTCTCCTCTAAATGTATTGTACCTTTAGCATAGTGAAAAACTGATATCAATAGATCAATTTGACCACCATGTGGCTAGTAAACGATTCTACATAGGGGAAATGGATGTTATGTCGGCCTAAATGCCCCTAGTTTGGGCCCATACATAAATTCAAAAATCGGCAAGATTTTCAATAGATGACGCGTTCATCTAGATAAAATTGATAAATAGCAGATTTTTAGCGATGGGCCCAATCTTAGATCCATAGGCCAACAATAGAGCCATTTCCCCTATATCCATATTGTCCGGGAAAAAGAAAAAATATTTTAAAAAATAGTACCAGACATTCAGAATTTGTTTTAATCAAAATTTCATACTTCAGTCATAGACAGATCTTGATGTTTGTGCGCTTAGCTTCCCGGCTCTTGTCTTGGCGCGGTGCATTGAATTTTCCTTCATATGAACATCGCTGTATCCCAAGTAATAATTTTGCTTTTATGAGGGTTCTGTAGATCATGATTTAGACTTGTAGAATGTGTAGAATGCTATATATCCTCCATGAAGCATGCATACTTGGGATGCTACTGAAAATTGATACCCTAGAAAAAAGAAGATTGACTATGCAAGCCGTATTCGTATTCAGCTTATTTGTTGGCCAATAAAATTGATGCCCCAGATATTCTCGCTGAATGAATATGTAGGGGGAATGGCTCTAATGTTGGCCTATGGATCTAATATTGGGCCCATCGCTTAAAATCTGCTATTTATCTATTTTATCTAGATGAACGCGTGATTGGAACGGTACTAATGGATATTTTTGGTTGCTTATACCATTTCTGTTAAAATGAGCAGGTATATATACCTATATTAGACCTGTTCTTTTAAACAGAAATAATCGGGCTGCACCGGGTCAACCGTGATTACTGTTCGTCATGTTAATTTGAACTTCTGTGCTTGATGATTGTTGATGATATAGAGGTGCTTCAAGTTAATTTTATGTTTTAAGGTAATTTACGGCTTATAATATTTGTATCTCGAGACTGAAACAACGAAAACTGCTGTAACAACTTCCATAGCAAAGCCTAATGTGTTATCTACCAACTTTGTGACTTAAGGTTGACTATTCAAAGTGATTTTATTGAAGTTTGACTTAGTTTCATGCTCGAAGATATCCTAAAATGTGAAGAATTTGAAAGTATTTGTTCTACGAACTTTTCACCCATATGATATAAAAATGTGTAGTCTACGGCATAACGTTCCTTATACTGTTTTAGAAATTTCGTTCAAACATAGTTTTCGTGTAGATTCCATAGATTGAGAGATAAAAATCAGAAAAGAGGCAGTTATAGCTAAAATTCACAAGACAACAGAGCCAATAAAAGTTTCAATTAGATTGACAGAACATAGTTGCATTGCTTTTCAATGACGACCGATGACTGTTTTTTTGATAGATTTTTAGAAATATGAATCCTCAGTAGGGTTTTTTTTTTTATCAAAGGCAAGTGTCACTCGAGCCATCCAAAATGTTCGTTATTTTATAAACTGCTATTATGGCTCGAGTGACACTTGCCTTTGATAAAATTGAGTGTGATGAATGATTGATTTTACAAAACGGTAGTTGAGAACCAGATTCTTGTAAAAATTACCGAACAGTTTTGCAAATTTCTTTCTGTCAAATTCACATTGCGGTCATTTCGAACTTGGAACTTCTTTTGTTCTCCGGTGAAAAAGTAAGTACTTTACATTTTTGCTACAATCCGTTCGATATACGTAGAAAGGATAATTCAGCTGGGTGGCATCCCTATCTTGTTCGCCTTGCCTTGAAAAGAGCTAACATCGCTGCGGGCCCGCGAGTCGTGGGCCCCACTGACAGCTCATAATTTGTAAGCAAATAGAAGATTCATGCCAGAATTTCAAAAAAGGCGTGACTGATATTTTAGATATTCTTAATATTTTTGCTTACATTTTGTGAAAACAATAATGTTTATTTACTTTGCTAGTTTGGTACAATGACGTTTATATAAGGTCTGGGCCAAAGGGGTTATTGGTGTTAGCGAAATGTGCAATTTTTAGTGGTGTTCGAGCTCATAGCCTAGTCAGTAAAGGCACGGTATTACCAAGCCGGAGGCGGCGGGTTCGATTCCCGGTCCGGTCGAAGGAATCTTTCGGGTTGGAAATTTTCTCGACTTCCCTGGGCATAGAGTAGTGCTTGCCACACAATATACAAATTCATGCATTGGTATTGGCATCGAAAGCTCTCAATTAATAACTGTGGAAGCACAGACAAACAGACGTAACTCTTCATTGTGTATCTTCGTTCACGCATTTAACGGTTTATTTGAATATTATCAGTTCCGCGAACTACTCGCCGCAGCGCTGGCATCGGATCACTTTGACGTTTCTATACATTCTATAGAACTTTTATGCAATATTGTTTGCGAGTTAGCGAGCAAGCTTGTTTTCCGCGAGAAGCCTGAAAGATGTCGCTACTGAGGTCCTATGTTTTCATGAAAAAAAATTTCAAAGAGTTACGTCTGTTTGTCTGTGGTGGAAGTGCATTTAGAACACTAAGTTGAGAGCACGCAATAAGCTAATATGCGCTAAGCAATAAGCTTGAAATGCGAACAAGAAGAAAGAAGAAAATGTTTGAAGTGGTGCTCATATTGCCCCGAATGGACTTAAGTCATTTTTGGCTAAGAAAATATTTAATGTTAAATGAAAACTAGAAAAACATCGTGTCATATAAGAACCATTGACCGTTTATAAAGCTGCTGAAGGAATATTAACGAAAACTTATAAGAAACTACCAACCTTATTTTCTGACTCAGAAATCTTATAACATTTTTGATATTTTGAGATAGTCCAACATTTTTCGAATATACGCCCAAGAGAAAAGTAATTTTTTAGTCTAACGTGAAATGGATAGTTCAAGTAGGCTTCAAGCAGTAAGTCAACAACAATTTTGTTTTGCAACAGATATTAGATAAGTTCCAGAACAACATGTGAAAAGGGCATACAAGCTTTTTGTAAACAAACCTTCTTATGCCCTTTTCTCGCCACCCATATGACACCAACGCAAACCTTTAACATCACCGGGTAGGGGACACTTTCCCCTTGCCGATGATATTGCTGGTTTGCGTGGGCGACCCTCGGTTGGTGAGAAAAGAGCCTACAAAGGTTTGTTTACAAAAAGCTTGTATGCCCTTTTCACATGTTGTTCTGGAGTTGATTTTTAAGCGGGTGGCCACGGCGAAATTGCACTACTTTCCCTACTCGTACGAAAAACGTTAACGTAAACAAGCAGTAAGATGTGTACACAATCGAATAGGTGGAGCTAGTGATAAAAAAGATGAAAAGGAGTATACCTAATTCACCAGGTTGTTAGGTGTATCGATATAGGCAACCACGTCAGTTTTTCGGTGTTTATATTCGGAATGACGCTATTTGCAAAGCTAATTTGGAGTTCAAAAAAGTCAGTAAACAAAAAATAACTTTATTTTTCTTTGATTCTGAGACTAAATCACTTTTAACGTAATTTATTGTGTAAAACCAACAAAATATGTTGTATAACAATTAATACAAGCGGTAAAATCGAAGTAACGTTTATTTGAGTTGCATTTCCCGTATTTACATTATCTACATTGATTTAATAATAAAATTGTTTTCGCATTTAGGATTTTTTATTTTTCTTTTGACTCTGCAGCTTTTTCTGATAAATTTGAGCAAGAGAATTAATAATAGATGAGACGAAGAATAAGATCATAAATATAACAAAGTATTCAAACAAATTTTGAAGTATATTCGATGAGCTAGTTGATACTTTGGTTGTTCCCCTATGTAGTCTATCCTTTTGGTTTTGAAGGAATGTTTTGAATGGCTCCTGCAATTTCTTTCCTATGACGGGTACCAAAGCCATAAAATCGACGGCTTTATCCACAAGGTTTTCGTTGAAAGCAATAATCACAAAGATTTTTTGTATGTGCATCTTGATGACCGCTTTTCCAATTAATGTTGCTCCAAAGAATGTCCAGAATGGGACCAGGAAATGGCCACAAGTAATACCAGCAAGGTCGAAAAGTGGGTTAGGGATCTGTGAAATAATCAAGTGAGTATTTAACTTATGGCTATGATAGGTACTAATTTCATACGTACACTTGCACAGAGAAGAATTCCAAGAAACCCAACCTTCTCAACGAATTTCTCCATTGCCAGCTTGCCACGCTCAAAGAGTTTCAATTTGTCACCATGCATTTTCCGGTTTTCTAGTTCTTGAAGATCATCGAATTCTTGGTAATCGGTTCCCGATAGCCTTGAAGCTCTAGCCATAAAATAAGGAGGCAGCTCACCGAGCGCGGTGCCGGCTCCCCATAGAAATGCTTCGAACCGAACCTTAGACATGATGGCCCACATTGATGGATACGTGGTTGACATCACTTGTTCTTCAGGGCACATAATTCTGAAATAAAAAACACATATATTTATTTCTTCATTATTCCACTATCATTATTCACGCCGAGTGTCTACGGTTCATACTAATTTAATTTAAAAAAATTATTGTTCAGGGTTGTCCTAACATCATTTAAAAAAATCCTCGTGGTATGTGGACAGCCCCTGGGGGCAATATGGTTCCTCTAAGAACAACACATAATAAAACATGAAACATTTGTAAATGTACACTGAAAAAAGTTTTCACTTAGTTTCTGTTAGGAAAGCACATAATAATTTTCCAAAAACAAAAATAATGATTTTTATCTGAATATCACATAACACCAGAAATTGTAACTAATCATATATATTTCATTGGACACATAACGTTCATGTGATTTAGTGGTGCAATTTCCAATTATGGGATCACATTAAAGTTATGTGAAATTCACATGGGTATTTTCCAATGGTTATGTGATTTATTTTATGAGTGTAGCATAACAGTGATCAACTCATGCTTTGGAATTTGTTTGATAATCCTGCACAGTGTATAAAATATGGATAAAGTATGATATAGAGGGCGTGCGTCATGGGCCACCATACGGAGTAATATGAGCACACTAGAAAAGTTAACATTCTGACAGGTGTTCGCTAGAAAATAACATAAAATAAATCATGTGAAATATAAACATAAGATATATTAGCAACTGTATTTCATGTAGTGACCATTTATAGAACCAGCGGATCGATTAAATGCACTATAGTGAATACAAACCTTGTTTTGTTGACTGCAAATCTGATAATATTTTAGAGATGGTGAGTCAATGTTACATTTTCATTATTATCTTAGACATATAATTGAATTTTGATACGGTTTTCATGGAGATTCATATTTGTCTTGGTGCACAAATTGCGTAACGCATAGAGGGGGTCATGCTAGCATTAGTAATTGTAACATAAGTATTGGGAATGTTATAGTACGTTCAGACTACGAGTTATAACATGTTATAGCGCTATCTTGATGGTGTTTTCTGTGTTGCAATTATTTGACAACCGTTATAACATGTTATAACTCTCCAGTCTGGACAGCGTTTTACGTAATAGATTGACCAATGTGCTGTTAATTAAATCCATGCCATTCTTGCATAATAACAACTTTTCAAACTGTTACTAGAGATTTTTTAATTTGATCGCAAATTAAAACCATTTCAAGATTGCACTCGTATTGGCAAACCGAAGTGACAGACGACTAACTGGCGAAGAAAACAATAATTAGTCCCCAGACAACCAGAATGCACGTATATTCAAAGTTGTTTTCGTGATATACAAACATATATACAAACAAACAAATCGTATAGAATGCAAACAAATGGCTTATACGTACAAAAGTGGAGGCAATATACGTGAAAATTTTAATTTAATTGTAAACGAGTTGATTTAACATCATACACGATTTAATCTGTAATAACAAATTCACTTTGAAAAGTCTTACGATGTAATCCGATTGGATTTGTGATTTTTTTTTTTTTTTTTTTTTTTTCTTTATTTAAGAGATTTTTAGCCTTAGGCTAGTTCATCTCTAGAATTTGTGATACAGTACGACGGAAAAATGAATCATTGCATATAGGTCGGAAATTTGCATTCCATACGATTTAACTTAAACATAATGCGATGCATCTCATTCTTATATGCGATTTTGACATAAACTGTAGCAATTTACGATACTGTCTGCACATTGTTATATGACTTCTGGTTGTCTGGGTCGTAATTAGAAATACTCAGAGGGAGAGATGGGCGGAGAGAATGTTTTGAGCCAAATGAACTGTCAAAATCTGAGCCAATCGGACATTCCAATTAGAATTTCTTAGAATTTCCGAGGAATTCTTACTAGAATAAATTTGAGAGTATTGCAATCGAACAGAAATTCAATCACCTTTATGTTTTGTGTGCTTCGTAAATTTAACTAGTTTTTGGAACCAAAAACAATATTCTAACTCTTTTGATTAATTGATCTTCGTTGGTTAATGAATGGCACCAAGAAATGTGCAAAATATTGCGATGCAATCAATTATTATTTTGCACCTAACCCGAATCAAAAATATAAGTCATTTGAAATGCTAGCTTCTAGCAAGGGTTGCAATATAATTTAGGAACAAATCCCTGCTGCGGAATTGTATTTTGTTTTCTCCGCCTATCTCTCCCTCTGAGTATTTCTAGACGTATTGTGGTTCGCTGTAATAGAATTTACTTAGAAGCTTGTGCAATCAGCTACCAGATGGGCTAATACTTTTGTTTTGATTTGAACAGAGTAGATTTTGTGAGCAATGATCTTTGACAGTGTGCAAAAAGTGTATCATTTTGTTATTTTTTAGTAGTAGTTTTGAGTAGAGTGAAAGAGATAGAACCAAAACATTCTAGTACATTTGGTGAAAATGCTAGTACAATTCAGTAGTAGCACAAACGAAGTGACAGACGGAGCGGCTCGAAAACTTTGGTGACTAACCTGCTATTTCAATTTTTCAGTGTACCACATGGCAACACCACTATTACTGGATTGTACCCCATGGCAACACTACTACTGGATTGTACTAGCATTTTCACCAAATTTATTAGAATGTTTTGGTTCTATCTCTTTCAGTCTACTCAAAACTAAAATGCATAAAAAAATGACAAAATGATAAACTCTTTGCACACTGTCAAATAATCATTATACACAAAATCAACTTTGTTCAAATCAAAACAAAAAAAACTAACCCATCTGGTGGATGATGGCACAAGCTTCCAAGAAAATTCTATTACAGTGAACCACATTATTTTAATGGATTTCTTCGCCAGTTGGTCGTCTGGCACTTCGTTTGCTGGGGGGGACGTGCTGTCAAATCAGCCTACTGATCATTCTTGTATGAAGCTGGCTCCAAACGTAAACAATCGCTGTAGGTTTCTTATGGCTTGTCTACCTTTGGAACCAGTTATGCGAGGCATGCGAGGTAGGCGACGATTGTTCGTATTTGACAGCCACCTCCCCCCTTGTTCGTTTGTGGTAGTAGTGTTGCCATGTGGTACACTGAAAAATTGCAGGTTCGTCACCAATGTTTTCAAGCACCTCCGTCTGTCACTCTTGATCGCTTAGTTTATAATTGGCAAATCAAAGTTGGCACTCGTGGAACTATGAAAGTGATGATGGTTTAAAAAAAATTCCACGGGGAGGTATACGAATGCAATCATAAATTGGTTTTATTTTGCAAATGGAGCATTTTATTTAATTCTGGTTGCTTCTACAGTGGTAGAAAAGCTGAAATCTATATATACACCTAAAAATCTGAAAAGATATTAATTTTTCTATATTATATGTCTATTGAGTAGTCCTTAAGTTTTCTACTAACGTAGCATTAACCAGATTAAATTAAAATGCTTCATTTGCAAAATAAAATCCTTTTAAGATTGCACTTCACCGTGTAAAATTTTGAATCATCATCACACTCATAGTTCATCTATTCTCCACGAGTGCCAACTTTGATTTGCCAATAGCTCGCTGTACTGCTTATAGCGAATTCGTTTATTATCGGGGTTGGAACCAGTTCCAACCCAGTGCGAAACCGAACTTTTTGTCAGTGCGAACCTCAACCTGAGCTAGGTTTTAAAAACAAACGAGCAAACTGACGTTTGTCAGAAAACAAGCAGACCCAATCCTGATACCCGATCCAGGTTGGAACTGAATAATAAACGAATTCGCTATTAGATGGCAACGCACCGAGCTTATGCTATTCATCACTACGTGACAGCAAATTCGTTTTGTATTTATCTCAATCGAACGAGCCCAATTAACAACTGTGGGAGTGCTCAAGAAACACTAAGTTGAAAGCCAGCGTAAGGGCTCAGTAGGGACGTATTAAATCTAAAAAGAAGAAGTGTGAAGCTTGCTCTTTAAAAACCTGTGACAAGGTACAGGAAAACGTGACGTTGGGTAAATATTTACTCAATTTCGCGAGATATATGTGCATGGTTCCAATCAGGGTTGCTTTCACTCACTTACTATAAAAAATTGTTTTTTGGAATTATGAAATTATTAGATGATGTAACGATATGTTGTACTTGTAAGTAGCAAGAAGAGGGTGTAAAGTATGTGTTTGACTCATAAAACCTGTCAATTTCGCTTGCAGAGTGTCACAATCAGCGATCGTGTGATTCGTGAGCGTTCACTCAGAGTGAGCGCTCACGAATCATAAAATCGCTTATTGCGACGCACTGAAAGCAATATTGACAAATTGTATGTGTCAAACACATACTTCACAATCTCTTCTTGTAAGTTACAAGTACTAATTATCATTATTACGTCTAATGATTTCATAATTCTGAAAACATTTTCTTATAGCAAGTGAGTGGAAGTAACCCTGAGTTCCAATAGTGCGTTTTATTTGAGACATAATCAAGATAGGAATAAAAAAGAAGTTTCAAGTGTTCTTCTTCATGGCCATGTACTAACAAATTTAGTTTATCGTCAGTTTAAAATGTTGTGCTTGATGACAACCAAAGGCACTTCAAAATTTGAACCACCCTGGTAATTTATTGCTAAAGTGGCGCCAATTATCATTACGGGTTAGATCGCAGAAA